ACCCCCCCGACAACAAGACCCTGTGGTTCCTCTTGCACGTTGGACTATTGAAGATTCGACGGCATAATATTACCCCTCTGTATTGGCACCGCAGTCAGGCAGCGGCGCTCCCGAAGTCGTTGATGGTAGGACCTCTGGGCAAGCGTGTCGTGCATGTGCTCCCGACGATAGGGAAAGGATATTATTCGAAGAAGTTGCGACCAACGCCCTCTATCCAGGATCACGGGTTTGTACGGGGACGACGGCGTGAGAATGCAGTACTTATATCTAATTGTACGATGTGGCGTTTAAGAGCGGCGTCAAGAACTCATTGTGTATGTATGAAAGATATGTCGAATGCATTTGCGAGTAGCACGCACGAGTCGATGGACACTACCGTAGGTATACATTGTGCGGACCACGATGTTGAAGTATGTCGTCAGCGCTATCGGAACTCAGTGATTGAACTCCCGACGAGCGGGGCCAGATGCACAGTTCAGCCGAAGCAGGGGGGGACGATGGGTGATCCTTACATTGTCGCCATGTTCCTGGCCACGTTCTCGAGACCGATCCTGGGGTGGGGGGGGAGCTCTGGAGTAGGGACCCAAGCGCTAAGGATCTCAACGCACAGTGGGGCGACATTAGGGCAGACCTCTCGTTGATTGAGTACGCCGACGACTTGAATAAGGTTATCTTAGCAGATTTCGGGACTTCGCTGGAGGGGTTCCTGGGGAAGATCAGATTATCGGACGAGATCCTCAATGAAAAGTTGGCTCTCTTCGGTTTCGGGCAGAACATGTCTAAACAGCAGCTGCTGTTCCACTTTTCGAGGCTGTCACATACGTGTAAGAAGATACTTCGGGACCATCCTCGGCTTACGGAGGGCACCCCCAAGGATGAGGCTAGGTACCTGGGCCCTTTTCTCGTGCAGCGTGAGTCGGCCGCCCATGAGATTGGGAAGCGTCTCGTCGCTGCCAGGAGCACGTTCCACAGCCTGGGGGGTGTCTGGTCCCTGCCGTTGCCATATAAGTGGAAGCGGGTGCTGTTCCTGGGGTTCGCCCAGAACGCTATCTTAAGTGGGCTGGAGTCATACGCATTATCTAAGGTGGATTACCGTCGTCTGGACTGTGGGCTAGCAGCTATGGGACGGATAGCTATGAGGGGCAAGGCATCGGAGAAGGAGGTGGTGAACGGGGAGGAGAAGGTGAGGAGCATGAGTAATAAGCAGGTCCTGGACTACTGGAAGGTTGCACCGAGTGAGGTCGAGATGACAGTCAGACGCCTGGGCATGTACCAAGGCTGGGCAAAGGACCCCGAGAGCAGTGGCCAAGTGCTGTGCAGCCTGTTTGGGGAGATGCCCGCGGACGCTCATCGACCTCAGTTGGTGAGTGTTCTGCCATCTGCCTTTTCTTCTCCCTATGTCAGACAAGTACATCATGAGGTAGGATGGGCGTCAGGACTTTTGGATGAAGAGTTTCTGGATGAGCTGTACCGCGACCTCCGTCTTCTCAGGGATCGAGAGTGGGCCGGAACTTTTTCTGTATACGATTTTTCGGTACTCAGAGCACGTGTGCATTCGGTGGCGATCCCTCCCCTTGCGCCGACACGTCATTGCGCCGTGACGTCGGCGGGAGCCGCGGGTACTCACGACTCGACAGCAGCGGCCGCGGAGGGGAGCGTCGAGGACCCTATGTTCGTGCGTGAGCTCGAGGTTGAAGGCCAGAGGTGTAAAGTGGAATTCTCCAATAGACGGGGCTACATGAATCATCTTCGTCAAGTTCACCATGTCAGAAATCTCGCACATACACTCACAGTCAGCAATATATGTATTCACTGCAGACAGGTGTTTGCAAGTACCTCTAATGCGGGACGTCATCTACAAGGGTCTATTTCTCGGGGGCACTGTATTACACGTGGGCCAGCTACTATGAAAACTGTTGCTGATATCCCACCCTCGTTTACATGTCCGTGCTGTGAATATAAGGGCTCGAGTCTTTCGGACCTGTGCGACCACCTCTGCAGCCACCTGCCCTTTGTGATCGCCCCGTTCGCCCCGTCCTCCGTGAGGGTCCCCTTCAGAGCCGATGGAGGAGTTGAGTTTCCCCTCGTGGTCCAAGATGCCGAAAAGGAAGGAGGAGGCCGAGGGGGGGACCGCCACAGTCGAACAGGCCCAAGCCGAGCGGAAGCCCAAGCATTTCAAGCAGTCGGCCCAGGGAGACAAAGCACCCCGCATGCTCGTCAATACAATGGCCCGCCTCGTGCTCAGCAACAGTCGGGAGATCGCCGCCATGGCGGCATGCGTATTCATCAAAGTCGAAATCCTGGTGGGCAGCGGTCTGGCAGCAGCTTGCCTCAAGGCAGGCAAGACATACGACGACGATTCGAAGGCCCTCAAGGACCGCCAGAAGGAGGGAGGGGACGAGGCCAGGCGTACCGCCAGGGAGGAGATGCTCGCCCGAGGTCCGCCCCACTTGCACATTCTCGTTGCTGCCACGGCATATGGCGCCACCCACAGTCCAGCAGCAGGAGCAGGAGAGGAGCAGGAGCGCAAACTGATCACGGAGTTCAGAGAGTTGTGGGAGGGCAAGATAAAGAATATCGACATGAACGAGCTGTCTCGAGCGTGCGGGATGTTCCGAATAAAAACCATGAAGAAAATCGAGGGGGAGCCGCAGAAAGCCATCATCATGTTCTCGTTCCACAGGGAGATGGAGGTGGGTCGTCGTCTAGCGGACCTGTTCGAGCGCCTTCTGAAGTTGGAGGGGGGGCGGCTCCTGTCGGGAGCGGCTCCCAGAGGCCCACTCGAGAGAGAGATCTCCAGACTGCTGGCCAACAGAGAGTCGTGAGAGCATTCCAGAATTCTGATCGTTTCCGTGAGCTGGTCTCTCGCGGAGTAGTGAGGGAAGATATCCTAGATAGCATGCACAATAAGGTCGCTGTATATAGCCACCCAGCACTCCCAGCCACCCCAGCGATCGTGATGCCACCGCCGCCAACGCCTGCTTCTGTGGGACGGGGACGGGGTCGTGGTCGGGGTGGTGGGGGTCGTGGGCCGCGGGGTCGTGGAGCGGGAAGGGGGAGACTCGAACCGCACGCCTCAGAGCCAGCCCCCTGAGTGCGGTCGCGTGCCGCCTGGGGTTGCTGGCCAAGGCCAGTGCTGCCCTGTGCAGAGCGCGGCAGCCATCCATATCATCGTGTAATGGCGGAGGCCTGCAGGCCTCTTCTCTGAAGTCTTCAGCATAGCAGTTGTCATGCTCTCTTTGCGATTTCATGTTGCAGTCAGAGTTGCTGTTGTGGTGGAATCCAGGCTTCCATGAGATCCAGTCCAGTCCAGTCCTCCCTCCTCCTTTCTCCTCCTCCTTCTCCTTCTCGTCGTCCTCCTCTACCTCCTCCTCCTCCTCCTCCTCCTCCTCCTCCTCCTCCTCCTCCTCCTCCTCCCCCACCTCCTCCTCCAACCTTCTCCCACATGCTCCCCCTCCTCCTCGTGTTCCTCCTCCTCCTCGTCCTCCTTCTCCTCCTTCCCTCCTTCCCTCCTCCTCCTCCTCCTCCTCCTCCTCTTCCTCCTCCTCCTCCTCCTCCTTCTCCTTCTCCTTCTTGGAGCATCCTGGCAGCCCTGGTGGTCTTCGGAACCGTCCAGGACGCCCATGGAGGGGTTCGGGACGCGCCCCAAATGCCCACTTCCAGAGGAGGCAGGCTCCGAAACAGAAAAACTGCATAATCAGAATCTGTTGGCGCTCCGCGCAGATTCTTGATATCCGCGCTGGGATGATCCCGGCGGCGCTTCCGGCGCCGCCCCTGGAGCGCTCCGCGCGCCAGGGAGGGGGGTCCAGCGCAGATCCAAGAAATCCGCACAGAGCCAAACAGTTTTTGCTTACAGTGGAGACCCATGCCAAGAAACACCCTGGTCGCCTCCAGGGTGCCCCGAGTTTCTCGGGGTCCGATGGTTTTGCGATGGGGGGCGTAGCGTTCCCACGCCGCAAATCGGTGGCCTGGACGTCCTGGGGTCTCATGGTTGGGTTTCTTGTGGAAGGTTTCTTGTGTTGAGTCGGGCCTGTCCCTCTACAGGGGGAACATTCAAAATAGTCAAAAAATAGTCTTGGGATCATTTTTGTTCATATTGCGGGGCATCGTTTGAATATTTTTTGAATATGTTTTATTTTTCGTCCAAAACCCCCCATGTAGGGGGACAGGCCGGACTTAATTCTTGTGGTCGGGCCCCTACTGTAAGGAGAAATGAGGGGGCCCTCCAGACAACTTGCCGAAATCCGACCAGAGAGCATCTGGTATCCCATGGTGCAAGGGCGCCCTCGAGGGCGCGAAGTTATTTGCGCTTCGCGGTTCGGCTCCGATCCCTCATCCTCCTCTTCTCCCCTGGGAGGCGGCGCGGGAGCGCGAAGTTATGCGCACTTCGCGCTTCGCGCAGTGCGAAGCGCGCAGTTGGGAGCCCTTGATGGTGCCTCAACGTGCCAGACGGTGCGGTGGCGGATTTGGCTGAACAGTATTCACTGCAGTGGCACGGAGGACAATTTGATCCAGTGTGCCCACGACTGGTCTGGAAGTGAGCTATGCGACCACAGCCAGGACGTCGGCATTCGGTGCGAGGCGATTTCCTTCTCGCCCAGCTCTTTCCTCCTGCTCCTGCTATTGCTCCTCCTCCGAGGTCAGTTGCGACGACACTTCACAGGGCGTTACCGACCAGGTGGGCAACGACTGCAGCTTCTACGAGGGCAACTCTGTGTACCGCACCTCTCCCACACTCTTGGAGGGCGGATGAAGGGGGGCAGGAACGGGAGCAGGGAGAGAAGGGGACTGGGCCGGAGTCGTGGAAGGCGGGGCAGGCTCCTCCTCCTTTTCCTCCTCCCAAGGTATTGCGGTGTCTACGACTCCTCAGTGTTCGCAGCTAGCGAGATGTGCTGCGCGTGCCGCACCGCGTCTCAACCCTTGTCTTTTAACTGGAATTTTGAGACGGGCGTGGTCGGGGAAGCGCCGTTGTTGTGGAACTGCAACCTGTCGAACAGAACATGCGGTATCTTGACCGACGCAGCAGCCCACAGCGGGCTGAAGTCAGTCGTGTTCTCAGGACTCGAAGACTCGAAGACCAGGCAATGCATTGGCATCGCTCCGGACGTGTGCATTTTTCCTCGGCGAGGACCATCGAGGAGCATCCTGGAGCACCGAGCAAAACGACACGCGCGACACCGACTCATGCACGGGAAGTGGACGTCCGAGCGATGGCAGGATGCCGGAAACGTAGCATGGTGAGGTTCGCGCGGAGGTCTTTGGTCGGAGCCTCCCCCCCACACGCTTGGAATTCCGCACGGAGCGTCGACCGCTTACGTCTGTGCTGTTGCTGTTGGTCTTAGCATCGCTCGGACGAGTGCGTTTATTTCGGGGGAGGACAGAACCCCCAACAGTGACACGTCGATTAGTGAATTGTCCGTTTTCGATTCTCGAGAGGGCGCCGTGGCCGTTATTTTCCAGGCTTGCGCCCGCCAGGTTCACTAAACCACGTTTGGCTAAAAGGAAATCTGTCCATCCCCGATTATTCCTGGCGAGGACTCTCGAGGAGCGTCCTGGGTCATCGAGCAACAGAGCACGCACGAAGCCGACACATGCACGGGGATTGGACGCCCCAGCGATGGCGAGTGGTTGGTCCTTCTGGACGGGACTTGCTCCCCAGTTCTCTCGCAGGTTGCGTTCTGACCAGGGTTCCAGCGCGAATCCACAAGTGGCGATGGCAGACACCCAGGCGGCAAGCGATGGTATCGACATCGGCTTGCTCCTGGAACAGGGCTTGGGCCTAGGAGTCTCTTTTTCCCTGAAAGGGCGGAGGCCTAGGGTTCTCTTCCAGTAGGTAAGCCTGTCTTTGGTGCCAAGTTTGCGTGCGGCCAGCAAATTTCCGCTCGATGAAAAGGAGGTGAAGCCCCATGCTGTCCAAACAAATGTGTTTCGCGCGTGCCCGCTGAGGAAAGTGTACCCAACATCTCGGAGCCTCGTTGCCTAAGTGTTCCGCAGACCCCCGTAGGGTGCTCAGCGTTTTGCGCAGATTCTCAACTAAATATCAAGGTTCGCAGACCCTCATATTTTACATAAAATGCTGGACTGTTAACTGTTTGCGTGCCCGCTTGAAGACAGCGCACCCTGCGTGCAAATTTCACGACGTCTCGAGCCCCGCGCTTGTTTTGCAGAAGAGGTGTTGTTTTATTCTGGCGTGCCCGTTCGAGGATGGCGCGCCCTGCGTGCTGAATACCTGAGGATGTCTCAAACGAAACGCGTACTTTGCATCGCTTGAAAGGCCTGGGCGCCCCAGGATGCCCAGGTGGTTCTGGGAGTGCGGTCGGATTGTTATCTACGAGGGATCGTGGCCCGGTGAGCGTGACAACAGGTTCCGAACGCCCCAAAGCGGGACAAGCGTGAAAGCACATGGATTTCCAACGCTCCAGAGCGGGATACGCGTGAAACCTCATGCGTTCCTAACGCCCCAGGGCGGAACATCAGTGAAAACACTTGCATTTCTGACGCCCCAGAGCAGGATAAGCGTAACAAAAACACGTGGTCAGTTCCTAACGCCCCAGAGCGGAACAAGCGTGAATTCACGTGGGCTCTTAGCGCCCCAGAACGGGCCTCGCGTGAAAACACACGTGAACACACGTGGGTTCCTAACGCCCCAGAGCAGGACAATCGTGACAACACCTGGGCTCCTAACGCCCCAGGGCGGGACATTCATGAAAACACATGGGTTCCTAACGGCCCCCGAGCGGGACACGCGTGAAAGCACACGGGTTCCTGACGCCCCAGAGCGGGACTAGTGTAAAAACACGCTTGGGTCTTTTACGCCCCAGACGGGGATGAGCGTGAATATGCGTGGGTTCCGAACGCCCCAGGGCGGAACATTAGTGAAAACATGTGGGTCCCTAACGCCCGAGAGGGGGACAAGCGTGATAACACGTTGATTATTGACGCCCTAAAACATTGGTTCCTAACGCCTCCGAGCGGGACACGCGCGAACATACGTGGCTTCCTAACGCTCCAGAACGGGGTTCGCGTGAAAACATTGGTGGATGTCGAATGTCCCCAGGGCGGGACAAGCGTGAAAACACGTGGGGTTCCTAACGCCCCAGAGCAGGACAATCGTAACAACACTTGGATTCCTAACGCCCCAGGGCGGGACATGCGTGAGACCACGTAGGCGTGAAACCACTTGGGTTCCGAACGCCCCCTGGGCGGGACAAGCGTGAAGACGCGTGGGCTCCTAACGCTCCAGAGCGGGACAAGCGTGAAACCACTTGGGTTCCGAACGCCCCTGGGCGGGACAAACGTGAAGACGCACGGGCTCCTAACGGCCCAGGGCGGGACATTATTGAAAGCATGTGGGTTCCTAACGCGTCAGAGCGGGGCAATTGTGAAAACATGGGGGCGCCTAGCGGCCCAGGGCGGGACAAGCGTGGAACCACTTGCGTTCCTAACGCCCCAGGGCGGGACACGTGTGAAACCACGTGGGTTCCGAACGCCCCAGGGCGGGACAAGCGTGATAACACGTGGGTTCCTAACGCCCCAGAGCGGGACACGCGTGAAACCACTTGGGTTCCGAACCGCCCGAGCAGGCCAAGCGTGACACCGCATCCGTGCCTAATACCTTAAAGCGGGACAAGCGTGACAACACATGGGTTCCTAGCGCCCCAGGACGGGACACGCGTGAACATCCGTTGGTTCTTGACGCCTTGGAGCAGGACAAGCGTGACCATTCTTGTGTTCCGAATGCACCAGAGCGGGGCAAGCGTGAAAACACGTGAGGTCCCAATGCCCCAGCGGGACATGCGTGAAACACGTCGGTTCCTGACGCCGTAGAGCGCGGCAAGCAGGAAAGCTCACGTGGGTTCCTCTGGGCCTCCTAGATGGGGTCCGAGTAGATGGGGTCGGAGGATCGCGCCGCATCGCCGATGCATCGGCGATGCGGCTCGCTGTGGAGCTGGTGTTTCCCCACGCCGACGTCGCCGATGCATCGCCGACGTCGCCGATGCATCGCCGATGCATCGCTGATGTATCGCCGATGCACCGCCGATGTATCGGCGATGCCGCTCGATCCTTCGACCCCATCTTTCAGACCCGATCTAGGAGACCTGTAGTTCCTAATGCCCCAGGGCGGAATATGAGTGACACAGCGGAACAAGCGTGAAAACATGTAGGCTCCCAACGCTCCAGAGTGGGACAAGCATGAACCATGAACCCACGCGGCGTCCTAAAGACCCAGAACGGGACAAGCTTCAAAACACGTGGGTTCTTGACGCCGCAGAGCGGGACACGCGCGAGCATGGTCTTGGGATGTTTTCCTTGTCCGTTCCGTGTCTTGTCCCTTGCCACGTCCCCTGGCATGTCTCTTGGCGCATCCCCTAGTGCGCCCCCGGCACCTCCCGTGGCGCGTCCATGCGCCTTGCACCCCGTGTCGTCTCGTCCCGCTTCCGAACAGCATCGGATCTTGAGCTCGAGCTGACTGAGTGTCCAACACTCTTCGACTGCAAGCAGTTCTTGGCCAGCTATTCGCTCAGGACGCTCGAGCTTCGATCCAGATCAGTTCGGTCAGCATTCGGAGTCCAAGGCCGACTTGACCCACACCACGATTCAGCACACCGCTAGTCACCGCAGCATACCACATGTCATTACGCACTTCACTGCACAGCCGAACCTCTGGCACGGTGTACATCACAATCGATACCTCCAGCATTACCGCACAGATCTGCGGTGCGGATCGTGGCACGTCATTGGCACATTCTGTGGCGCGTCCCTGGGCACGTCACTGCGCGGCGCGGCACAGTGCAGAACAGCATAACACAGCCCCTGGCACCGTATCATCTTCTCATCGCGCATCGCCCAGTGTAATCCACGCGGAATCGTGACCCTCGAGCACGTTCCCTGGCTATTTCCCTGGCGTCTTCTAAGGACACGTCGCGCGTCGCGTCCCCTGGCATGTCCGCTGGCACGTCCACTGGCACGTTCCGTGGCGCGTCCCCCTGGCATGTCCGCTGGCACGTCCCGTGGCACGTTCGGTGGCGCGTCCCCATGGTACGTTCCGCGGCGCGTTCCATTGGCACATCGCCCGGCGCGTCCCTTGGCATGTCGACTGGCACATCATGTGGTGCGTCCCCTATGGCACGTCACTGTGCAGTGCAGAACAGCATAAAACAGCCCCTGGCACCGTATCATCTTCTCATCGCCCATCGCCCAGTGCAATCCACGCGGAATCGTGACCCTCCCTCGGGCACGCGTCCCGCGGCGCGTCCCCTGGCACGTCCACCGGCACATCCTGTGTCGCGTCCCCTGGCACATCACTGTGCGGCGCGGTAGCGCAGACCAGCACAACACAGCCCCTGGCACAGTAGCATCACCATTTCTATCTTCAACAGTGCCACTGCCCATCGCCCAATTGAGGTGCCTGGAACCGTTCCCATGCCTCGCAGTTCTAAATCCCATTCCGGGTTCGTGGGTCGATCTTGTTTGCCCCGGACCCAATACATTTTGTCCGCCTTCGTGCTTCATGTTTCTACCTACGTCTTCCGACCGACGTGCAGTTGGTCAACCCCCTGGCCTCGACCTGCCCAAGGGCTGGCGAACTTATTGTGAGATGAGCAGCGAGGTCGCGTAGGGCTGGCGAAGCAAACGTTGAGGTTGTCCCTGGCGAGACGTTGGTTTTTGAATGCCCGACTGCTGTTTTGTAGACTGTGTTGAGGATGTCTCGAGCGAAGCGCTCGTTTTGTGCTGTAGATGGATGGTTCCTCTCCTGGGGACCAGAAGTCAGAGGATCTCTGAGGTGTCATGCTTCGTTTCACGTGCCCAGGGCTTTCGGTCGTCTCGAGCGAGACGCTTGGTTTCATGCGTCCAGGTTGCCCAGACATTTCTAGCATGAGGATGTGTTGGGGACGCCTCGAGCGAGACGCTTGTTTTCACGCGTCCAGGTCGCCTAAGCAGATGTCTAGCACGAGGATTTGTCGAGGATGTCTCGAGCGAGACGCTCGGTTTCACGTGCCCAGTTCCCCCAGGCGGATGTCTAGCATGAGGAGGTGTGAAGAACGTCTCGAGCGAACCGCCTGCTTTCAAGTGTCCAGGTCGCCCAGGCGGATGTCTGACATGAAGATGTGTTGAGGATGTCTCGAGTGAACCGGTTGTGTTCACGTGTCCAGGTCGGGTAGGCGGATGTCTAATATGAGGATGTGTTGAGGATGTGTTGAGCGAAACGCTTGTTTTCGCGTGCCTGGGTCGCCCTGGCGGATGTCTGGCATGAGGATTTGGGCAGGACGTCTCGATCGAAACGCTTGTTTTTTCGCGTCCAGGTGGCCTAGGCAGATGGTTGGCATGAGGAGGTGTTGAGAACGTCTCGAGCGAGACGCTTGGTTTCTCGTGTCCAGGGCGCTCAGGCGGATGTCAAACATGAGGATGTGTTGAGGATGTCTCGAGCAAGACGCTTGTCGAAGTAAAGTGCATCGCAGTCCAACCCCGCCCGTCCGTGGGGCGTCCCCTGGCGCGTCCCCTGGCGCGTCCCCTGGCGCGTCCCCTGGCGCGTCCCTTGCGACGTTCTGGCGTGACGTGCCCTGGGACGACCCCTGGCACGCCACTCGGCGTGGCACGTTCCCTGGCTTGTCCTCTGTCGCGTTTCCTGGCTCGTTCCAATGCGTTTTCCCTACCCGTTCCGTGGTGCGTTCCTTGCAACGTCCCTTGGCATGACGCCCGTTGGCAGCCCCATGGCACGCGCTCTGGCACGTCCTGTGGCAGATCCCTGAGACGCCCAGGGCGCATCCCCTATTGCGTCCCTGGGACATCCTGTGGCGCAACCGTGAGCTTGTGCCCCGTGTCGTGTCGCTCCTTCTCGGAACTGAGTCGGATTTTGAGGTCGAGTTGATTGAACGTCCCGCACGTTTCCACTTTAATTAGCTCTGGGGCAGCTACCACGTGCTCAGGCAGCTCGATCTTCAGATCCAGATCAGTGAGTTCGGTTAGGACTCGGATGCAAAGGAAGTCTCGATCCACAACGCTATAGAGCACAATCGCGGCATGGCACATCGCGAGTCAGTACGGCGCAGCACAGCACAGCCTCTGGCACCGTACATCAAGATCGATACATTCCGCATTGCAATTTTGCCCGTTGCCCAATCAGGTATTTTGAAAAAGTTGCCCTGCCTCACATTTCTAGATTCCTTTCCTGGTTCGTGGATCGATCATGTTTGCCGGTTTTGGCCAGCCTACTTTTTCGCAAGACCGACCGTGGGCGGGGGGGGTTCTCCGAAGGGCTTAGGCGACCCGTCCTCCTCCTCCTCCCCCTCCTCCTCCTCGCTCCTCCCTCCTCCTCCCCCTCCTCCTCCTCCTCCTCCTCCTTCTACTCCTACTCCTCCTCCTTCTCGCTCCTCCCTCCTCCTCCTCTTCCTCCTCCTCCTCCTCCTCCGCCTCCTCCTCCTCCTTCCTCCTCCTCCTCCTCCTCCTCCTCCTCCTCCTCCTCCTCCTCCTCCTCCTCCTCCTCCTCCTCCTCCTCCTCCCTCCTCCTCCTCCTCCTGAGGACAGGGCTGGCGGTCGATCTGGAGCGGCAGCCTCGACGTGGCGCGCGGGGCGGCCTACGTGCTGTCGTTCTCGGCCCTCACGAATGTCTCCGAAGCAACGGTGCTCGGAGGCCCACCAAATAATGTTCTAAGAACCGTGTGCGGTCTGCACGAAGTGCTTTTAGATCATTCCTGGCTGGGATTGCCTTGTTTTAACGCATCGGGTTTATGTCCTAAGAAACATTGCTTTCGTTGTTTAAACACTCCTGGATTCTACGGACATGTCGCGGTAGGCCTGTAGGAATGCTGGCACGTCGGTCCTTGCTCAACTCGGAGGCTGAGGTGGTACTCGGAGGTTTGTCCACCGCCGAGGTGCGCACCCAGCTCCTCGTGTACCCAGACCTGGCGCCCACGAGCACTGCGGACCACGCGCTCCGCACGGCGTCCGGAGGCACCGCCGGCCAACAGATTGTGATGGGCTTGTTTTCCACCACCACCAGAAGTTGGATGGGGGGAAGGAGGAAGGAGGAGGAGGAGGACGAAGAGCTTCTACTCGACGAAGGGGCCTGTGTGCTGGAAGAAAAAATGTGTACGGTACAGGTAAACAAAAATCTCTTGGCGGCGCGTCTGGGGCACGCTCGACAACGCTGGTCGGGTCGGCAGCCCGTGGAGGAGGAGGAGGACCGCCTCCCCCCCCCAACTTGTGGTGGTGGTGGTGGAAAACAGGCCCATCAGATTGCACGCGTCCACTCGAAGAAGAAAAGTCACACAAACATAAACTGTTGGCGTTGCGCGCGGATCTCTTGGATCCGCGCCCGGACCCCCCCCCCCGCGGCGGTGCCTCCAGCGCCGTCCCTGGCGCGCTCCGCGCGCCAGGGAGGGGGGTCCAGCGCGAACCAAGAAATCCGCGCGGAGCGCCAAAAGCTTATGTGTATGTGGTTTGTTCTACGCCAGACTGATCCATATCCACACCCACGGCGCATCGCTGAGACAGGTAGGAGAAATCCCCAGAAGAATCCGAAGGAGTGGAGCATGCCGTCGGACTCACTCCTTCGGAGGCCTCCCAAATGGGGTCCGAGCAGGTGGGGTCGGAGAATCGCGTCGCATCGCCAATGCATCGCAGCTGCATGCGCGACGCATCGACGTCGTCGGCGATGCATTGGCGCCGTCGGCGTCGAGAACATCGGGCTTCACGTCGAGCTGCATCTCCGATGCATCGACGATGCGTCGCAATTCCTCTGCCCCCCTCTGCGCGGGCCCCACTCGTGCAGCTTGGGCCGATGCATCCACATCCAGCGCTCCACGAGGTCTTCTGGGAGCACGTCTTATGATATTCCAATCTACTTGTGCCTTGGCCACCAGCAGAAATTTCGAGCACCAAGAAATTACCGACACTCGAGGGTCTTCACGTGTCGGGCCCTGAGAGGCGATGCTCGTTCGACACTGGTCCGATACTTCTTTTGGGGTGCTCGGATTTCTTTGTGGGATGTGGTCCTAGAGCACGATGGGAGCAACATGAGGCACGTCCTCCAAGTCGGTGGGTGTGGGCAGCTCCCCGGACTTTCGTCGGGCGTCCGCGAGGATGTCTTGTGCAGGCGGCGGTCCCCCCGCCCAACCCGTCCCCAGGCGGCGTGTCCAGCGCAGCCCGCGGCGCGCTTTTCGCGCGCCAGGGGACGGGGGCGGAGCCCATTTGACGACCCAAGAAAGCAATGCGGATCGGGGGTGGACAGAACCCCCACCCTGGCACTCGGAGGTGGATAGACCTCCTACCCTGACACGTCGATTAAGGAATTGGCCGTTTTCGGTTCGCGAGAGGGCGTCGCGGCCGTCATTCTTGCGGCTCCAGGTCCGTCGGTTTCGGTCCCAGGCCGTTTTCACTAAGGGGAGGTTTACTAAAGGGAGGTTTGTCCACCGCCGAGACACGTGGATTAGTGACTTGTCCGTTTTCGGTTCTCGAGAGGGCGCCGCGGCCGTCATTTCCCAGGCTCGCGTCCGCCAGGTCTGGGCCCGAGGTCGTTTTCACGAAACCACGTTTTACAAAGGGGGGTTTGTCCACCCCCGAAGGGTAAGCCCATCGACGGTCCAAGAAATCCATGCGGACGTCCAAGCACTAAACTCTGCGCTTCTTAATAAGCGTAGGGGGTGTACCCCCCCAGACGGGGGTCAGCCTCGCCTCGTCGCCGCGCCGCACCGGGGGTCGGAGCGCCTTCGGCGCGCGGTGGCTGCCCGCGACGGTGGTCGTTGTGGGGCTGTCGGCGAGGGTGGCGCCCCCCCGACGCTTATTAAGAACATCGGAGTATACATAGTTTATAGCGTCGTTTGGTCCGCTGAGGCAGCGAGCAGCTACATCAAGTGCTTCCTACAGGGGCGATGGGAAGACCAACGCTCTTCTTCTCACCACTCCCAAGTTGACTCCAGCAGGAAGCTCTCCCAACCCTCAACCTTTTGTGGTGGTCGTCGCACCCCTCCTACCCCCAGGAGGAAAACATGTCATCCCCAGGCGACGCAAACCAAGTCGTGACGGTCGGTGTTTGCTGCCAAATTCCTCTGCGTCTAGAGATTGGGCCCCAGTCCCGGGACCGCGTGGAAAGCACAACCCAGGATGACTATCTGGCTCAGGGAAGGGGTCGAGAACCTCGGGCGTCGCGTCCTGGGGGGCGATGAGTGGGGGGGCAGCGAGGGCTGCAGGAAAGGGGCCCTGCAGGGCCCCTAAAGGAGCCTTCTAGAGCTATGATTCATTGATGTTCCAACCTATAGCCTTGATCACCAGAACGAGTTTCGAGCGCCAGAAAAACAAGTACCGAAACTCGAGGGTTTCCACGTGCCGGGCCCTGGGAGGCACTCGTCCGACGCTGCTTCGACACTGTTTCGACACTCATTCGACACTTTTCTGGGTGCTTGAAATTCTTTCTGAGATGTGGTCCTGAAGTGCGATGGGAGGCAGATAACTCTAGGGCCCAAAACGGAGCCTGCAGGGTCCGAGAAGTGCCCCTGTCTCCCCCCCGCAGTTATCGGTGGCGAGCGAGGGGGGGAAGTGAGAGGGAGAAGGCCTTCTCAGAAGGTTCGGAAGTCCCCCGCCCTGTGAGAAGTTGTCCAAGCCTTCCCCGAAGGCACAGCAAACAGCTTCTCAGCAGGCGCGAGGGCTTCTGAGAAGTCCCGCCGCCCTCTGAGAAGGCCTTCTCCTTCTCCTCATGTCCCCCCCTCGCTCGCCGCCGAACCGATCGCCCCGCCAGAGAGCGACGCCCACGAGACCTAGGAGCCGACGTCGCGAACCCAGGCAGCGACGATTTCTCTGGCAGCGATGATTGCGGCCGTGCCCGCATTGTAAATATTGATAAACACACACAGACACAATTGATCGTGGACTCCCAGGAAAATATAAGTCGGGCTTGTCCCTCTACAGGAGGAAAATTCAAGAATAGTCAAGCAATAGTCTGGGGACGACTTGTTGAGTATTGTTTTGCTTATTTTGTGGTATTGTTTGACTATGCTTAATTTTTTCGCCCAAAATCCGTCTGTACGGGGACACGCCCGACCTAACACAATTGATCGTCTACTCCAGGAAGATATGGGAAAATATCTGGTCAGTGGGGGGGAAGACGAAAACCTGGATATATATATATATATATATATATATATATATATGGGGAATGGAAATATGTCAGGCGATCGCAAACATGGATTAAGGGGGCGTGGATTAGGGACGGGTCACGTTTCTACCGGAAATCGCCGAATGCCGCCGCCAAGCGAGGCGGCACCGGCCGCATTTTGGGAAGGGCACCTCCCCCGATCCATGGATTTGGCGACCGCGCGCCAAATCCATGGATCGCTAATCCATGTTTGCGCGCCCCCGATAATCGTTGACTCCGGTGAAGATCTGGGACAAAAATATGGACATTGGGGTGGGAAGACGAGAACCTGGATTGGATATAAATGTGGGGAATGGAAATATGTCAGGCGATCGCAAACATGGATTAAGGGAGCGTGGATTAGCGACGGGTTCCGTTTCCATTGGAAATCTCGGATTGCCGCCGCCAAGCGAGGCGGCAACAGCCGCATTTTGGGGAAGGCACCTCCCCCGATCCACGGATTTGGCGACCGCGCGCCAAATCCATGGATCGCTAATCCATGTTTGCGCGCCCTCGATGATCGTCGACTCCCAGGAAAATATAGGAAAAATGTGTACAGTGGGGGGGAAGACGAAAACCTGGATCGGAGGTTGGGGGGTGAGATCGCGGTGGAGCGGAGACCCCCAACCGGGAAATCGTTTCGTTTCGTTCGTGTCGTGCGTGCGGGCGAGGCGAATTTGCGTGGGCGCGCGAGAGGAATGAACCCGCCGTTGCTAGGACGAAGTCAAGACACATGATTCTCCCCCGCCCGCTCGTCCAGCGGTGGCTCGCGGTGTCCCTCGGTGTCCCGCGGTGTCCCATGGTGTCCCGTGGTGTCCGCCGTTGCTAGGGCGAAGTCAAGACAATTGATTCTCCCCCGTCCGCCCGTCCGTCCGTCCGTCAGGCGGTTGCTCGCGGTATCCCGCGGTGTCCTGTGGTGTCCGGTGGTGTTCCATGGTGTGAGATCGATAGTGAGGTCGATATTGGAATCGATACTGAGATCGATATTGAGATCGATGTGGTGCCCCGAGGTGTCCCGTGGTGTCCCAAAAAGTGTGATCGATAGTGAGATCGATAGTGAGATCGACAGGTGTCCCGTGGTGTCCCGTGGTGTCCCGTGGTGTCCCGTTGAGTGAGACCGATAATTAGTGAAATCGATGTTGAGATCGATGTGGTGCCCCGAGGTGTCCCGTAGTGGCCAGTGGTGTCCCTTGGTGTCCCGTTGAGTGAGATCGATAGTGAGATCGACAAGTGTCCCGTTGTGTCCCGTGGTGTCCCGTTGTCCCGTGGTGTCCCGTTGAGTGAGATCGATAGTAAGATCGATTGAGTCAGATGTTGGTAACCCCCCGCCCCCCCACAACATCCTTATCACCCGAAGGGTGGTCGTACAGGTACAGGTAGGGGGAGTGGAACCGCATGGACAGGAAACGTGGACGGTGGGGGCTGACGAGATGGACAGAGAATGCCAGATAAGATGGGGAATCCTGGGACCCGTGTCTCCTTATTTGTCCTACCTTCCCGTGTGCTTCATTATTCGTTTTTTCTTTGGTTTGCCATCCCGTAGTCTCGGGCCCGACGAAAGGGGGGGATTGGGAAAGGGGGGGTTACGAAATCTGCTGCATGCAGCTGGTTTCGGCCTCACCGAGGGGCCCGTTCCTCGATACATGGCCGCCTCCGGCGCCGGGAGGCGCCGGGACATTCAGCTGCGTGAGCTGATTCTCACCCCCCCCCTTTGCTATCCCCCCCTTTCGCCCGACCCGATAGTCCCTCCTTTCCTCCTCGCCCTCCTCGGTGTCCCTGGGCCCCTCCCGACGGGCACGGCGCGCGCGGTCGGCCCCGGGAGCCGCTCCCCGCCCGGGGCCGCGTTTTCTCGCCCGCGCCCCCCCCCCCCCCAGTGCCTGGCAGCGGGCCCCGGCAGCGGGCCCCCGGGGGGCTGCTGATCTCAGGAGGGGAAGAAACACACCGACGCGATTCATCGTTGATGCCCAGGGAGAAATATGGGAAAATATGGGAAGTGGGGGGGAAGACAACAAACCTAGAAAATATTGGCAAATATGGCGAATCCAATTATTTGTGTGCCTTTCTTTATATATTTATATATACATGTGTGTGTGTGTCCTTGGGCCCCTTGATAATTGACGAGCGCGGCGATTGAACAGTCCTATCGTCGGAGGGTCTGGGCACAGTCGGGGCGCTGAAGGCAGGGGCTCGGTGCTCCTCGATTGTTTCGCAGCTTGCCCAAGGTTTTGCCCCAGGCTTTCGATGGGAAGCCGAAATTTGACTTGTGGATCCACGGGGCCTCGTTCCTTATTTGGGGTTCCTTGGGTCCACGCCACGACTGCACTAGGGAGCCCACAAAGGACGCTCGCGCCCGGCTATGTACATGAACACGGCCCCTTGACCCGCGAGACCAGCCGCAAGCTAAGAACATTCGCGCAATGCGAACTCTCAAAACCAGCGTGGTTTCATGTACGTGTACGTCCTTCTTTCGCTCCTGATGTCGGGACCTCGCAAAAGGGGGGGGGCACAGTGGGGGGGGGAGTTCGGTCCGTTGGCGCATCGAATCACATAACAACTATACAAAACGAGGTCTCCCGCCGCCGCTGGAACCCGAGAGGCGTCGGACATCGGGGCGCGCAGGGGGCATCGTTTTTTTTTTCGGAAGTTCGATGCACCAGCGGATCGAACTCCCCCCCCCTCAGGGTCCCCCCCCCCTTTGGTGGGCCCCGATGATGTGCCGGCACGCGTGGTTCCTTCCCAGGCGTGTTTCCGAACCATGATGCGTTGTTCTAAGGCATATTCCGTCAGCCTTGTCGACAGGGCGGCACATGGATACAAATCCTACACATGATGTATCTTAGATTGTCTTTACACTTGCGTTTGTAGTCCCGGCATGCAAGCCCGAGGATCTATTCACCTTGTGTGGTTGCGAGGGGATGCTTCGTATGGAAAAAAACGGTCTGCCCTCCCAGGCGTGGGCCAAGTTCGAGCACTTCTTCATCGCGGGCGAAAGCGCCTCCACCGTTCGCGTGAGCCTTGGGGCGCAGGATCCCTTCGAGGCCGACGCCGAGGCAATGCCCCGACTGTGCCCCCGCCGGGGGCTGCTGCCTGGCAGGAGAGGTCCCGGGTTGCGGTGGCCCTTTGAGGCTCGAAGGTTCACGCTCTAGCAATCTTCCTCCTCCTCCTCCTCAATCCTCCTCCTCCTCAGAATGAACTTACCCGTGCTTAGAGGGACCCGGTGGGAGCCAGAGGAAGGCGAGTTTTTCCCGGGAATTTGGGGAGGCCGCAGTGTCAGAGAAACGCAAGGAGCCTTGATTGTTGTTCCTTGCCTTGCTCGAGGACGGCGCGTCCTGCGCGCAGAGTTCTCGAGGATATCTCGAACGGAACGTTTGTTTTGCATGACTTGGCTGGCCTGGTCGCCCCAGGATGCCCAAGCGGTTCTGTGGGAGTGCGGTTGCATTTTTAACTATTCGCCAGGGATCGTCACCATGGGAGCGCGGACGCCGCGTAAGTTAAGAGGTGTCGTGGCCCTCGGAACGCGGACGCAGTGGAATGTGTCAGGGATCCTAGCCTCGGGAGAGCGAGCGCAGCTTCATGTACGAGGGATCGTGTTCTTGGAAGCGTGGGCGCAGCGTAATGTACAGAGGATCGTGGCCCTGGGAGCGCGGTCGCAGCGTAATTTACGTGAGATCGTCGCGCGGAGTCAACGTCGTTTATAAGGGATCGTTGCCCTGAGAAGGCGAACGCAGCGTAATTCACACAGGAACGTGGCCTTGGGAGCGCGAATCCAATTAGTTTGTTTATAATCCCAGCGGTTGCCCGCCTCCTGGTGTTTGAAGCCGTTATGTTGTACGTGTGTCCCTACATTTTGCCCATTTCATGGGGCTTGGATCTTATCTTTTACGCGTGTTCCTGCAGATTGCCACTCGCTCAGGGCTCGAGTCCTTTGTGTTCAACGTGCATTCCTATTGATTGCCCTTCTCCTGGGGTTCCAATCCGTCGCGTTTTACGTGCATGCTTTTTTTGCTGTTTTTTTTTTTTCTCTCTCTCTCTCTCTCTCTCTCTTTCTCTATCTCGAAATGTATATATGTGTATACACATATGTATAAATAACTACACGGTCAGACTACATAAATGTATTGCACCTCTCCTGGGGCTCGAGTCCTCGCGTTGTGCGTGTAGCCCTACAGATCGCCCCTCGCCTGAGCAGTCGAGCGAGCACCCAGGAGTCCCCAGGAGGCATTCTTCCGTATCGAGACGTGTGCTCTGGAACGCCTTCCCCCCCCGGCCCGGGAGGCCCCAGGACGTGTTCGGTGGCCGCTTTTCGCCCCCCAGGAGGCACCCAGAAGGACTTCCAGGAGGTCCTCCCCCTCAGGCCCCAGGAGGCACTCTTCTGTATTGAGACGTGTGCTCTGGAAGCGCCTTTCCCCCCCCCCCGCCCCAGGAGGCCCCAGGACGTGTTCGGTGGGCGCTTTTCGCCCCCCAGGAGGCACCTAGCAGGGCTTCCGTGAGGTCCTCCCCCCTGGCCCCGGGAGGCACCCAGGAAACCCGAACAGTTTCATGTTGTTCTCAGTACTGCTCCTACAGGTTACCCCTCTCCTGGCGCTGGAGCCCTCTTTGTGCTTACGCAGGTTCCTACACTGTGTCCTTCTGCTGGGGCTCGGGTCCTTCTTTTTGTGTGTCCCCTGGATTCCTATCGATTGCCTTTGGGGTTCGAGTCCTTCGTGCTCTTCGCGTGCTCTTACAGATTGCCCCTCACCTGGGACTCGACTCCGTTGTGTTTTACACGTCTCCCTGTAGATTGCCCCTCTCTTGGGGCTCGAATCCTCCGGCCTGTTACGCCGATTCTGATATTTGCATTAGTATCAGCAGTGCTATTAGTTTAAGTCGGAGGTGAGGGGGTGAGATCGAAGTGGAATGGAGAGCCCCCCTACCGGGAAATCGGTTTCGGTTTCGTGTTCGTGCGTGCCGTACGTGCGGGCGAGGCGAAGCTGCGTGGGCAGGCGAGAAGAAAGTCTCCTCCGGCTGAGGCGCGGCCGAACCAAATGTTTCCTTTCCGGGGGCCGGTGGCCCGCGGTGTCCCACCGGTGTCCCGCCTCCATGAGGCGCGGCCGGACCAAATGTTTCCTTTGCGGGGGCCGGTGGTCCGCGGTGTCCCGCCGGTGTCCCGCTGGTGTCCCGTCGGTGTCCCGATGATGATGATGATGATGATGATGATGATGATGATGATGATGATGATGATGATGATGATGATGATGGTGATGGTGATGGTGATGGTGATGGTGATGGTGATGGTGATGGTGATGGTGATGGTGATGATGATGATGATGATGCTGATGCTGATGATGATGATGATGATGATGATGATGATGATGATGATGATGATAATAATAATGATGATGATGATGATGATGATGATGATGATGATGATGATGATGATGATTATGGTGATGGTGATGGTGCCTCTGGCTCCTGATGGGGACGCCTTGTCTTCTATGAGCCACGGCTGGACGTCGTAGGCCGTGGGCGGTTGCACTGCAGTATGTCGCATGTTTCCCTTCTCCCCTCGCTCCCCTCTTCCTCCTCCTCCTCCTCCTTCCCCTCGCCTTCCCCTCCGTTGCGGCTGCTTTAGTCGAGCTGGACTGGGGTATGTCTGGCGCGCAGCCTAATACTGGCCGGCTTGTCTGCTCCCCCCCCGAACCCAGGGCCATTGCAGGATTTTTGCTTTCAGTGCCTTGCAGTCGTCACTGGTCGGTGGAGTTGCGCTGGGAATAGCCCCCTCGAGGGGAAGCGGATCGGGCGGTCTTCGCGCAGGAAAAAAATATGGTGATGGTGATGGTGCCGGTGATGATGATGATGATGGTGATGATGATGGTGATGGTGATGGTGGTGGTGATGGTGATGGTGATGTCGATGATGGTGATGATGGTGATGATGACGATTACCATGGTGATGGTGATGGTGATGGTGATGGTGATGGTGATGGTGATGGTGATGGTGATGTCGATGATGGTGCTGATGGTGATGATGACGATTACAATGGTGATGGTGATGGTGATGGTGATGGTGATGTCGATGATGGTGATGATGGTGATGATGACGATTACAATGGTGATGGTGATGGTGATGATGATGGTGTCCCGATGATGACGATGATGATGATGATGGTAATGTTGACGATGTTGATGATGCTGATGATGATGATGACCATGGTTGTGATGATGGTGGTGTCCCGATGATGATGATGTTGATGATGCTGATAATGTTGCTGATGATGGTGTCCCGATGGTGATGATGTTGATGATGATCCTGATGATGGTGATGATGAGATGATGAGATGATGATGGTGATGATGATGTTGATGAGGATGATGATAATGGTGTCCCGATGATGATGGTAATGGTAAGGTTGATGATGATGCTGTTGATGATGATGGTGATGATGATGATGTCACGATGATGGTGATGTTGATGATGATGACGATGATGGTGTCCCCATGATGATGATGATGTTGATCATGAGGATGATGGCGAGGTGTTGATGATGATGATTATGATGATGGTGGCCCGATGATGATGGTGTTGATGTTGATGTTGATTATGATGATGGTTTGTCGATGCTGATGATGGTGATGATGCTGATGCTGATGATGATGGTGACGATAATGAAGGTGTCCCGATGATGATAATGTTGATGTTGATGCTGCTGATGATGATGGTGCCCCGATGATGATGATGATGATGCTGATGGGGTTGTTCATTATGATGTTGAGGGTGAGATGAGATGATGGTGAGGATGGTGGTGTTTCGATGCTGATGATCATGATGATGGTGTCCCGATGATGATGGTGCTGATGATGATGATAATGCTGGTGACGATGCTGGAGTCCCGATGATGATGGTGATGTTGATGTTGGTGATGATGGTGATGAGCTGATGATGATGATGGTGTCCCGATGATGATGATGCCGATGATGTTGATGGCGTTGGCGACGATCATGTTGATGATTGTATTGATTGTGATATCGATTGTGGTATCGATGGTCTGATCGGTAGTGATACCGAATGTGAGTTCGATTGTGAGATCGTTAGTGATATCGATAGTGAGATCGATTGTGAGATCGATCGAATGTAGTAGATCGAGTGAAATCGATTGTGAGATCGATCGAGTGAGATCGATCGAGCGGGGCCGATAGAGAGATCGATAGAGAGATCGATCGTGAGACCGATCGAGTGAGACGTTGGTTCCTCCCCCTCCAACCTCCTTATTACCCGAACGGTGGTCGTGTAGGTATCAGTATTATCCGTGAGGGTTTCGCCCCATGCCGCCGGCCCCCTGTCTCGGATAACAGGAGATGCAACAGCTAAATCATGAGGTCTGGGCGCCGCCGTGATGCAGTGTCGAGACCTGTTGCTCTTCGACCCTGACCCTAGGTATTTGCGTGAGGGGCGCCACCGAATGTCAGGCATGTGGCAAATCACTATGTTTTTGGACTCTGACCTTACGGATCTGCGTCAGGGGTGCCGCCAGATTTCACAAATGTTGAGAATCCTTTTGGGTTTTCGGACCATGACCCTGTCGATCCGCGTGAGGGGTGCCACCGGTTTCAGAAATGTGGCAAATCCCTTGTGCTTTCGGACCATGACCCTGTCGATCCGCGAGAGGGGTGCCACTGAATGTCAGAAATGTTGAGAATCCCTTGGGTTCTCGGACCCTGACCCCGCCGATCTGCATGAGGAGTGCCATCGAATTTCAGAAAGGTTACACATCACACCTGACCTTACGGATCTGCGTGAGGTGTGCCAGCGAATTTCAGACATGTGGCACATCCTTTTTGTTTTTGGACCCTGACCTTACGCATCTGCGTGGGGGGGGCCAGCGAATTTCAGAAATGTGGCAAATCCGTATGTTTTTGCACCCTGACCCCGCCGATCTGCATGAGGGGTGCCAAATGTCGCAAATCCAATTTGTTTTTGGACCCTGACCACGCCGATCTGCGTGAGGGGTGCCAGCGAATTTCAGAAATGTGGCAAATCCTTTGTATTTTTGGACCCTGACCTTACGGATCTGCGTGAGGGGTGCCAGCGAATTTCAGACATGTGGCAAATCCCATGTGTTTTTGCACCCTGACCCCGCCGATCTGCGTGAGGGGTGAACATTTTTACCCACCCCAGCAATTCAGACAACACGCTCAGGGCGTGTCAAACCTTTTGGGCCTCCCCCTCCTCGCGCGGTCCATCAACAAGGAACAGTAACAAGCAGCAAGAAGCAGAACTGTAACAGTGGAAACTAGAAGCTGCAACTGGTACAGGAAACTGCGAACCTTCTGCCTACAGCCTGGTGGCCCCACAAAGGGGACCGGCGGATAAACGCCCCCTCTCCTGGGGCCAGATATTTGATGTGCTAGGTCCCTTACCACATGTATGTGTGTACGTATGTTGCAAGTGTGAAAGCACATACGTATGTATGCACGTGTGTACGTATGTATGTGTGCGTGCACTTTTATATGTATGTGGGTTTATACGTGTATGTGTAGGTGAAGGTTTATGTGTAGATGTAGGTGTAGCTGTAGATGTAGGTGTAGGTGTAGATGTATCCGTACGAGTGCATGAGTGTATGCATGCATGCATTTATGCATGTCTGTATGTATTGTATGCACGTGTGCATGCATGTAAGTATGTATCCACGTACGCAAGCATGCATTCGTGTATATGTGTGAGTATGTGTGTTTGCACGTGTGTACGTGTGTGTGTGGGTAGGGGTGCGTTTGTGTGTATGGATGTGTGTATGTTTGTGTGCCTGTATGCATGCATGCATGCATGCACACATGCATGCATGCACGCATGTAGTTGTGTAAACATGAGAATGGGTTCGTATGACTGCACTCATGCACACGTACATGCATGTATGTCCAAACATGCATGTATATGTATATGTGTATGTGTATGGTTGCGTACATGTACATGCATACGTTTGTGTGCACGGCGATATATATGTCTATGTACGTGTCCATGCGTGCATGTGTAGACGTTTGTACGTATGCAGGTAGCTAGGTGTTTATTCATGTATGCGTGCATGTGTATAGGTCTGTATATATGGGTGCATGTATGTGTGCACGTACGTACACATACATGTATCACATGTTATATGTATGTGTGTATGTATGGATGGATGGATGGATGAATGTAGTGTAATGTAGCGTATTGCAATGTAGCGATGTATTGCTCCTCTCATGGGGGTCGACACCGAAAGGTTGTGCACGTGTATTCTTATGGGCTACCCTTCTCCTGAGGGCTCGAGTCCATCATGCGTTACGTCAATTCCGTTAGATTCCCCCCCCCGTGGGTATAGAATTTGGAGGTGTTTTGCGTATATTCCTATACATTGCCCCTCTCGTGGGGCTTGAATCCAGTGTGTTGCATCACTATTCCTATAGGTTGCACCTCTCCTCCTGGCCCTAGGTAATCTACAAAAAGGATCGCTGGCCTTGTGCGCGGACTTTCATTCATGTACGAGGGCTCCGGGGAGCGCGCACGCAACTGATGTTACGAAGGATCCTGGCCATGGAAGCGCGGACCGCGTAATCTAGAAGGGGACGCAGCCTCAGGAGTGCGCGAGCACGGTTGTTTACAGGGCATCGTGGCCTCGGGGGATGCGGGCGCCGTGCTGTTCACTCGCCAGGGGGTCTGGGCTGTGGGAGCCACGGGCGCGGCGCAGCTTTCGAATGGATCGCGGCCTCGGGAGCGCGACGCCCGTGTCATTCACAAAAAGGGAGCGCGACCCTGGGGGCGCGGACGCAGCTTGCTTTACGGAGGGCCTTGGACCTGGGAGCGCGGATGCCGCGCAGTTCGCGAAGGAAATGCATGAAGGATCGTGGCCTTCGGGCACTTTCCTTGGCGGGTCCCCTGGGCACGTCGCGCGGAGCGTCCCTCGGCACGTCCCCTGGCACACCCCCATGGCACGTCTGCTGGCAAGTACCGTGGCGCGTCCCCCTGGCACGTTACGCGGCGCGTCCCTTGGCGCGTTCCCCTCCTGGCGCATCCGGCGGCGCTTCCCCTTGCACGTCCACTGGCACGTTCCGTGGCGCGTCCCCTGCCAGGTCACTGTGCGGCGCGGCACAGCGCAGAGCAGACCAACACAGCCCCAGACGTAGTATCATCACCGTGACTATTTTCAGCATTGTTATTACCCGTCGCCCAGTTGAGGTGCTTGGAAACGTTCTCGTGCCTCGCAGTCCTACTCCCCTTTCATTACCAAGCGCGTTCTACCACTCGCAACTTGCCTACTCGCAAACGTCCGAGCAAAAACACACAGTTGCCTCGATATCATGGATCGTAAATTCCCCGCGGCGGACCCAGTCCATTTGCGCCGGTATCGTTTAACAAATCCCCATCCCCATCCCCTTCGAGACCTACTACCCCCCCAGTTGGGGATACACCCCTCGAAACCCGAAGGGAACGGCCTATATCCCCCCCTAGGGGGGTAGATCGGCCAGTGGGGCCCAGGCCACGCCGCTGGGGATGGGGATTGGTTAAACGATACTGATTGCGAGTAGCGAGTAGCGGAGCGAGGTTGTCTGTCTCCGAGTTTGGGGTCGACCATGCTCAACTTCGTGTGGGAGTTTGGCGTCGTTGTGTGGGAGCCGGGCCGCGGTGCAGTCCTGGCCAGCCAGGATGCCGCCGGGCGCGATCAGGGCCGTCACATGCCCGGCGGCTCTGCTCATATTCGCCCCCCTGCGGAAAGACGTACAGTTCATCGAGGGCGGCCAAGAGGGGGGGGGGGGGACGCGGCGGCTCCCTTCAGCGAGCACGCCTGCCCACTTGGCTCACGAGCAAAGGCAGGAAACGAACCGCACCGAGCGCAGACCACTGTCAGGGGAGAATCAGGAGGGGAAAAAACGCACAGACACAATTAATCGTCGATTTCCCAGAAAATATTGGAAAATATTGGAGATGGGGGGGAAGACAAAAAGCCAGAAAACAGGGCGAAATATGTTGTTTGTTTGTGTATTTATTTGTGTGTTCTGGGGCCCCCTCAGAGAAGGCTCCTCCCCACTGTCCGTGCCCATCTCGGCCGTAGCTCTCCCAGTGCGTTCCTCTTGGGTCGTCGTCGTCGTCGTCGGCGGCGGCGGCGGCCGCGGCGGGGTCGGCGTCGGCGTCGGCGCTGGCGTCGGCGTCCTCCTCCTTCCCCTCCTCCTCCTCCCTCTCCTCCTCCTCCTCATTATCCTCTCCTCCTCCTCTTCCTCCTCCTCCTCCTCCTCCCACGGTGCCCCCAAGACGGAGCCCCCCGCAAGCATGTGTCGAAGGGGTTCCACGACGGTATCTCATGGCGGGGGCCATGATATCTCCCCCGATTTCATTGCGCCTCTTATTATTTCAATATACGGCCCCGGCCCCTTGTGGAATGTTGGGCCAGACGAAAGGGGGAGATGGGGAGATGGGGGGGATACGAAAGCTGCTGCCTGCAGCTGGTTTCAGCCCCACCGAGGGGCCCGTGCCTCGATACATGGCCACCTCCGGCGCCCGGAGGCGCCAAGAAAACGCCCGGCCCGAGAAAGACGTACAGTTCACCCGCATTGTGAGGACGGGCAACCTTCTCAAGGGTACCTTTGCATCCTTGCCCTTTCGGCCCATCCTTCGCTTTCGCTGTCCAGCCTCGTTCGAAAACGTTGGCGTTGGCCTCCAAGGCTCTTGCATCCTTACCGCGCATTCTTGCTGTACGGGTCGACTGTAAGTCGCACTCATCTGGCCGAGGCCTCCCAGATGGGGCCCGAGTAATGCAGATGGGGTCGGAGGATTGCGCCGCATCGCCGCTGCATCGTCGCGAGCACGATTGTCTCCACGCCGACGTCGCCGGTGCAGCGCAGACGTCGCCGACGCATCGGCGATGTAATGTTGATGCGGCGCAGTCATCCCACCCCATCTACTCGGACCCACTCTGGGAGGCCTCCAAGAATGGAACTGTCTGGTTGGTTCTGGGCACCCACAGGCCTTCGGGGACTCCCAGGAGACATCAGCGCCCTTCAGGGGGTTCGCGGAGCTCCTCGCTTGAGCTTCCAGGGGGGGGGGGAGGACGCGTTGCACACCAGGTGACTTCGCACTAGGGGTCAGCGAATCCGGGAAACCTCTACATCGACGATGTGGAGTTCCTCTTGTTCCCGAGTTTGGAGAGCGACATGCTCGACGCGACCGCAGCGCTGGACGTGTACCGGCGCCCTCCGGACTGCTCGGGCGACCAGGATGACCATGATTTCACGGCGTCAGATTTGTGCTGTGCTTGTGGAGGAGGACGGACGGTCTGGGGCACGTGCGCGTGGACAGAGTCCACGGCGAGTGCGGGGTCGGAGGAGTTCGTCGCGAACGTGAGCTCGCCGGAGGAGTGCCTGTCGGCAGTCGCGGCGCAGTGCTCGAGCGCAACTTCTGCCATGCTGCCAACCGCTGGTGCTCAGCACGAGGGAACAGCATAGGGTTAAGTCGGGCCTGTCCCCCTACAGGGAGAGCGTCGACGAGAAATGAAAAATACCCCACAGATAATCCAAAAATAGTCCAAAAATCGTCCGAGCACTATTGTTCGAGTATTTTTTTACCTTTTTGGGGTATTTTAGTAGGGGGACACGCCCGACATATTCATAGGGGTCATGAGTTCTGAGGGCAGGGGTGTCCGAGGTTTTTCGCCGGGCCATCGACGTCGGAGTAGGAAGAGGTACGAATACCGCTACTCCCCACCTCGCTCTTGCCTTGTGGGCCTTCTGGGAGGCCCTCGTCGCCGCCGCTGGCTTCGCCTCGAAATCCTGGCCAGACCGCACCCCAGGAGAGGCCCAGGGAGTCGCGGTATTGGTCTAGGGTATAGTTTAACCTTCCCATGACGGCCCCCAGAACTGCCCACAAACATGGTCGGGATGCAAAATCAGTCCCAGGGAAAGCCTCATGGCCAGGATGAGAAACCAGCCCCTCAGGATCGTATTCCCTCATGCAAACCAGGTGCTGGGCCGTGCTTCTGTGTTTACGGCTACCCTTCTCCAAGCAGCAGTGGTTGGGCAGCGTGCGTCTTGGAATCCGCTGCATGGGATGAGCCCCCCGAATCCGAGGACTCGAGCTCGTCTTGGACGGTTGATTATGGAGAGTGCACCGTCAGCGGTTTGTGCATTCACAGCGCAAAGCCTCACGGCTTCCATGCGTGTAGGCTTTTTGCTCATGAACCTATTCGTAGCTACACGCTGTCGGCCGTCATGCTTGACCTAGATCCCATTGTGGACAAGCTTTACGTGAATGGAGTATTTTACAGGCATGACCCTGTACCAGCACTACAGGATACATCCACGCTGAATGGAGTTCTACCAACAGGAGACATCATCTGGCATACGCACAGCACTGGCAAAGGTGAGGGCTGGACCCTCTGCGCTGAGCCCCCACAGATGTGCAGCGACTCGGCGGGCGAGGCGACAGACGCAGACTCCCACGGCTGCCAAGCGTATACGTCTTCCGAGCAGAAGTGTTCTGCAGAGGTGCAGGTTGGCTATCCCCCCACATCCCGCTCGTCGTTTGACAGCGATCCGGTGGATGGCCCTGTGGTGGTCAACATTCCTATAGGGGTGAATGGGACCCTGACGAAGTTCGAGCTGTTCGCCGGCTTTCCAGTGTATGTCGAGCTCCAGGTGTGGAGGCCAGTTAGCGCATACAAGTATTCACTTGTGGGCTGGAAGGCTCTAGGCCTCTTAGATGGGGTCGGAGTAGATGGGGTCGGAGGATCGCGCCGCATCGTCGATGCATCGGCGATGCGGCGCGAATCGGAGCTCGATTTTCTCCACGCCGGCGTCGCCGATGCATAGCCCACGTCGACGATGCATCGCCGATGCATCGCCGATACATCGCCGATGCATCGCCGATCTATCGGCGATGCGGCGCGATCCTCCGACCCCATCTACTCCGACCCCATCTAGGAGGCTTCTAAAGGCCCACACGATGGAAGGAGGGTTTCAATCAGTGGATGCATCCATTCAGGTTGAGGAGAGCGATGTCATCGGGTGGTTTGTACCGTCACAGGATGAGCCCGTGCCTCAGCCGATCCTGTTCGACGAGGGAGGCCGCATGGTCCGCTTCCTGTCGACTCAGGCGATCAGCGGCTGGATTTTTGGTCAGGTCTCGAGCGACGACGACGCGCCAGAGAAGGCCCGCGCGTACTCGATTCGGGCCACCGTCGAGGTAACTGCGTACGAAGGTCAAGGGAGGAAAAACCACCCAGACAGGACAATTGGTGTTTACTAAACGGCCCTGGGCGTTGACTAAACAACCCTGCCCTGCTTGATTCCTTCTTTGGGGGCGTTATTAAACGGCTTCGCGTGTCGGGGTGGTTATTATCGTGGTGGATTTTCTGCCCTCTAGAAGGGGCCGACGACGTTGATTTCACTGCCTCAGATATGTGCTGCGCGTGTGGCGGCGGCGACACCGCTTCTTGGAAGACGTGCGCGTGGGTGGAGTCGAACTGGAATGATGCAGAAGAGATTCTTGGGCTTACGCCCCACCGCTGACCCCTTGGGGGCTCCTGGTAGGTCTCTCGGGGGCCTCCCGGCAGCACTTTTGAGGCCTTTGGGGGCCGTTTTGGGGCCTCTTGGGGCCTCTTTTGGGCCTCTGGTGGGCTTCTTGGAGCCTCTTGGGGGCTTCTTGAGGCCTCTTGGGGCCTCCAAACCGACCGGGCGGGGCCCCAGGGGAGGGGCTTGGGGAGGGGGAAGCATCTCACACGCCGATGACCCCAAGGGGTCGGCGGATTGAGATTGCGTTCGCGTCTTCTCCAGCAGCGTGCCTGAGTCTGGTCAGGAGCGTTTGCCCACGCGCCAGCTTCGCGAAGCTGCCCACGAGCGGAACCGGAATGTGCTACTGCCAGTTTGGTGAGATTGTTGTGCCGGATCGCAGCGGATGGGCCGTCTGCCAGTTGCCCAGCGATTGCGACGAGGCCCCTCAGGGCTGGGCCGACAGTGAGGGTCGGACGTGCGAGACGTACACGTCGTCTGCCCTGTGCACGACTTCGGGGGGCTACGGTCCACAGTGGGACGTTGGGACCTTCTCTGACTTCGCTTCCAAGGGGGTATCGGCTGACCAGGCTTGCTGTATGTGCGGAGGTGGCGTGCCACCATCGCCGACGCCGATACCCATTGATGCACCCACCCCAGCACCTACGCCCGCTTCGGTGAGCGTCTCCCTGGTGGTGAGCAACCTCAATTTCCAAACACTTAACCAGAGCAGCGGTCTGATGGTGGAGGTAAAGAATGCGATCAAGGCTGGCGTGGTCAAAGAGATGGACGGGTCAATCACTCCGGACAATATTGACGTGCAGTTGTCACCGGGCCCAGTATATTCGAGACGCTTGTCATCAAGCGACGCTGTCATTGCGGATGTGACCATAGTGGACACGGCTTCCGCAGTCACATCAGCGATGTCGAGTCTGAGCGTTTCCGATTCGCTTGGCAGCAACGTGGCCAGTTCCATTATGGAAGTCGCTGACGTCATCGGTGCGGCCATCACAGGCGTAATCTCTGTCGCTGATGTGAGCGTGTCCACTGTAACTTCTGGTTGGTACGACGGAGGTGAAAACCAGAGCTGCGACCAGGGTTGCCAGGCCCTTGGGCTTCAGTGTGCTCAATGGGACCTCTTCTATAATAATGGTGATGTGGATAGCAATGCAGAGCTGATTGGCATAGTGCAGCAGCTCTACAGCACCAGCACAGCCGAGGACTGCACTGTATCCAGCGATGCCACCGCCCCATCATTTGGGGACTCTTCTTGTACCGCGTCCAGCCCAGACAGGACGGCATCTTCATTCAATTGTTCAGTTGCTTCTTCTGGTGGGATGCACCGCTTGTGCTACTGCTTCCCCATTGGTGACTACACCTGGACGGTGCAGTCTGGAAATTGCAAGATCGATGGCAATGGATGTTTATCGAGCCCCAATTACCCCGAATGGTACGACCATTTTGATCAGTGCACCGTGCGCATTGGTAAGCAGTGGACTGATCAGCATCGCCTCAGCGTGGAGGTTTTCAAGACGGTCAGCCCCTCCGACTACCTGGAGGTGAACGGCGTCAAGTTCTCTGGCGATCTAGAGGACGTTTTTGCTGAGTTGCATGCAGTGGTACCCTCTGGTGATATCACGTGGTCTGCAAACCTCCCACCAGCGCAGCTGGGATGGAAGATCTGCACGTCCATCGACGCCGTTGAGGCACCACAGCCGAGATGGAACTGTTCCATCGAGGGGAGCCCGTGCACGTGCACACATTGGCGGTCCGACATGACTGTGGCGTGGCAGGACGGGGGCCACTTCAACTTCACAGCCGTGCCGCCCTTTGTGGATGAGAGAGACCCGCTGTTGCATTGGGATAGCGACGGCGACTCGGACCGCTCCTCCTCTTGCCTCTTCTTCCAGCAGTGCACAGCTTCCTCCTCCCCCCCCCCGTTGCCCTCGTCGCTGACCCATCCGCTCCTCCTCCAAGTCCGTCGGTCTTGCATGCACGAAGGGAGGCTGGGTGAGGATTCTCGTGCAGCGTTGCACTCAGACCCCCCAGTGGAATGCTGCGAAGTCGGCCTGGAAGACCACCAGTGGTGGCAAGCATCCCCGACTTCCACACGGAGCGAGGTCGAACTTTTCTTCCCTTGCAGAGCCGCCTCCCAGGCATGACCCTCCTGTCTGCCCTTCACTGCTGGGCGGTGGTCTACCTTGGAAGAGGGATCCCCTCGGCAACGCCCACTGGGCGCTGCGGCGCTGCGCGCCCACCCCAGTAGTCGGGATAGCCTCGGCTGAGGCTGCGCCCTCCCCTGGCGTTGCCCCCCTGGCCTTCGGGCCCTCACTCGGCTCTCTGGCGGCCGCTCGGGACGATCCAGGCACCCCCTGGAGCGCTTTCGGCGAGGCGCTGCTGCTGGAGAGCACCCCGAGGCTGGAGAGCCGCCGAGATCCTTCGTCCCTCCTCCTCCTCCTGCTCCTCCTCCTCCTTCGTCCCTCCTCCTCATTCGTCCCCCCTCCTCCCCCTCCCGCGCGCAGGACCTGCACGATGGGCACCCCTACTGCGACCCGCTGGCGCTCACCGCCGAGGTTCCGCACCCGGCCCTGTGCGGCCCCTGCGACTGCGCGGCGGGGAGCCAGCAGGGGTACGAGGCCCTCTCTCTGTGCCCGCCTGGGGAGGATTTGGGCGCCCGAAATGGGCACGACAAAAATGGGTACAATGCCTAACAACAAATGTTGTCCCAAACCAACAGCGGCCGCTGTTGGGCAGGCGGCCTTCTGTCTCGAATGGGCACAGGCCGCGGCGGCGTGGACAGCGAGCCCTGTTCAAAATGCACAAGATCCGCTGTTGGGCATTGTACACATTCTTTCCGTGCCCATTTAGCTCGTACAAAAAGGAAGGGACGTCTGTCGAAGAAGAGAAAAACACATAAACATAAACTTTTGGCGCTCCGCGCGAATTTCTCGGATCCGCGCTGGGACCCCCCTGGCGGCGCTTCAGGCGCCGCACCTGGCGCGCTCCGCGCGCCAGGGAGCGGGGCTCCAGCGCGGATCCAAGAAATCCGCGCGGAGCGCCCAATGTTTTATGTTTATGTGTTCTTGTTATTCTTCTAGGCTGATGGGGCTTGGGCGATGAACAATTCGTTCGTTCCAGAGCGTTCCCAGACGCACGCCCTCAGGGCGCTCCAGGGCGCTCTGAGATGGCCGCGGCGCCCTCCAGAACCGCCAGATCTCAGAGATACTCCTCCTCCTCCTCATCCTCCTCCTCCTCCTCCTCCTCCTCCTCCCCCTCCTCCTCCTTCTCCTTCTCCTACTCGTCCTTCTCCTCCTCCTCCTCCTCCTCCTCCTCATCCTTTTCCTCTTCCTCCTCATTCGTCCTCGGACTCCACCTCCTCCCCTTCTCCTCCTCCTCCTCCTCCTCCTTCGTCCCTCGCACCCCTCCTCCTCCACCTCCTCCTACTCCTCGTCCTCCGCTTCCTCCTCCTCGAAGCTGTTCTCGTCCTGTTTCCGCTGTGCGGGAGGGAAGCAGGGCGGGGAGGGCCCCCCCGCCCCCTCCTCGTCGGGCAAGGGTCACGACGGGAAGTTTTCGACAGCGGTCGGCCTCGGGCCCTCGCGGGTCCCCGGGGCCGTCGAGAAGCGACGCGGGGCGGAGGGCCGGGCCTGGGGAAGTGGGCGAGACCTCCGAGGGTCCACGTTGTGAAGAGGCACGACGGGGAGGGGGAGGGAGGGAGGGAGGGAGGGGGGGGAGGGGAGAAGGGGAGGGAGGGGGGGGGGGAGGGAGGGAGAGGGAGGGAGGCAGGGGGAGGGGGAGGGGGAGGGTAGGAAGGGAGGGAGGGATCAGGAGGACGTCGGTCGCACTCCCTCCCCCCTCCTGGGGCTGCGGGGACGCATCCTGCCCCTAGGTGTGGCTTCATTCTCCTTCCTCGAAGCTTGCGCTCGACCACTTTGATCACACCCTCCCGGGTGCGACCGCCCCTGGGCTCAAGTTTGTTAGCATCGAGGGTTTCACCTGCAAGCCGCCGCTACGAAGATTGTCGGACCGCGCTGTGATCACAGCAGCAGGCGCTTAAACTTCATGGGCAGCACTGGCATTTCACACGAATTCGGTGCGCAACTGATTGGGTCAAAGACGCTGTCATCATCAGCAGCAGCATACTTCAACGGGGGGGGGATGGCGGCGCCGTTTGACGTCACCCACGCCACCAGCGTCAAGCGTCCAGCAGGAGGAAGCTCGCGTTCGCCTAAATGCGCTTCCCGGCAACGACGCACTCTGAGGGCCCTGGCTGGCGCTAGATGGTGTCGGAGTAGACGGGGTCGGAGGATCGTGCCGCATCGTCGATGCATCGGCGATGCGTCTCGATGTGGAGCTCGATTTTCTCTACGCTGGCGTCGCCGATGCATCGGCGTTGTATCGCCGATGTATGGCGGTTCGGCGCGATCCTCCAACCCCATGTGCTCCGACCCCATCTAGGAGGCCTCTAATTGAGGAATGGCGAAGGATTGCGCCGGCTCCTAGCGCGCGAGGTTTGCGCTCGCCGTTGGATGAGGAGGGCGTGGTGGTCGTGGTGGGGTCGGTGGCATGGGCATGACAGTCATGCTCAAACCTCGCCTACACCTGTGAAGCAATTGTCGACCCCTCCCTTTCCGGTGAAACTATATCACTACCTGCTCCTGGAAGTGAAATCCCGCCATGGGACCCCTCAGTGCGGGATGCCACCAAGTTCCGAATAGGACCCCAACACGACCCCAATCGGATTCCAATAAGAGCCCAAGAGGGTTGCAACATGGACTGTCGGCGAGGGATCTTGCCTCCGAAGGGGCCGTCTTGAGGCCTCTCTTGGGCTGTCTTATTCATTTTGCTCCACCGCCCCGAGTCCCCCGCTGTTACTTTCATGCATTCAGTTGTCGTGGTGCTAAAGATTTCGCTCGGCGATTTCCTTTCTCGGGAATGAACTCATTTGAGCGCGACGGATAACGCTAGGGTGGTCCACAATTGCTTCCCAGGGTCAGTGAGACCAGCCTCTCGCACATGCACGAGGCACGAGAGGAGACCACCTGTGGCACTGAGCCGAGGGGGGGAACACGAGAACTCAGCATGAGCTGTTGCCATGACGGTCGCATCCTGGCCAGCACCTGCAGAGCGTGCCGGGCCAGGCAGGGGGCGATCCTTTTTGTTGCTCCCATCGTACTTAAGGACCACATCCCAGAAGTAATTTCGAGCACCCCGAAAAGTGTCGAAAGAGTGTCGAGACAGTGTCGAAACAGTGTCGAACGAGTGTCTCCCAGGGCCCGACAAGTGAAAACCCTCGAGTTGCGGTAGTTTTTTGGTGCTCGAAAGTCTTTCTGGTGATCAAGGCTAAAGCAGATTGGAACAGCGATCCACGAACGGAACGTGCAACCAGCGTTGGGCCATCACTGGGTGTGCGGGCTTGGGCACCGGCGGCGGGGTCGTCCAGGGCGTGCAGGGGGCTGGGCGCGGGCGCCCCATGGAGAGCGATTGCAACTGCGCCCAGGCCACAGATTTAAGTCGGGCCTGTCCCTCTACAGGGAGAATATTCAAACATAGTAAATGAAACTCTGGGGTACCCCCTGGGGCGATGTTTGGACAATTTTTAATTATTTTTGGTGCATGTTGGGGGTATGTTTGATTTTTCGCCCAAAATCCACCTGCAGGGGGGCATGCCCGACCTAACCACAGATGGGACGTGCGGGTGTCCACCATTCTCGCAGTCTCGTAATTATGGTGCCGTGCCGCCCGTGCCCATTTGTGCGCTGCGTGTGCAACGTACAGATGCGCCTCAGGTTTCAGGACGTTGTGAAGCTGGACGTGCCCTTGCGGTCACGCATGGCCCATGCATGGGAGGGGCCACGAGACATTGCGTTGCAATTTTGGGGGGCCTCGTCTGTAATGTGAATGGCGTTTGTTTTGTTCCTGATGCCCGACGTATGTTTGACTCGGATTCGACGCAGGGCCTACGTGGATTCGACACGGACTCGACGCGCATTTAACGCGGATATGACAAGTTCGACATGGTTCCGTCGCGGATTCGACGCGGATTGTTGCGCGATGGGGCGGAAAGGTCCCGCGAGGATGTAACATGTCCATGCTCCTAGTAATGCACCAGGGTTCGGTCGGAACTTCGCCTCAATATTGCTCCGCCTTTCACCGAGGGTAGGCCTGGCCCGCCGGCCCATGGGACCCTTGAGGTTCGACTTCGTTTTTGTACATATATATATAGAATCATGTAATGTTCCAACCCATTTTAGCCTTGTTCACGGGAAATAATTTCGAGCACCAAGAAAGTACCGCAACTGGTAGGTGTTTGTGTGTCGGGCCTTGCGAGGCGGGACTCGTGCGACCATGTTTCGATACTTATTGGGTGCCCGAAAGTAGTTTTGGGATGTGGCCTTTAAGTACGATAGGAGCAACATAAGCCGACGAGCGCGGCGCAGCAGCAATCCAAGCTGGAGGAGGTGCACACTGCCGCCGCGCCGCGGTGCAGTGGAGTCTGGTAGCCTCTGCGCAGTCGCCGGACGCGTCGCCCCTGGGGCCCACGAAACCGGACGCTACTGGCTCGCCCCTCGCGCAAGTCGCTTGCGAGCTCATCGGCGTCCCTTCTGTCAAGCAGTGGCGAAGCGTCTTGGTTCGCCTATCGGCCCACCAAAAAACGTTCTCAGAACCTGTCGTGGTTTGCTCGAAATGTTCTAAGAACATTTCTTGCCGATATTGTTTCGTTTCAACACATTGGGTTGATGTTCTAAGAACATTGTTGTTGTTATGAAAACAGTGTGGGGTTCTAAGACGATTTCGTGGTAGGCCTGAAGGAATGCGGGGACGGTCGGTCCCTGCTCACTTCCGACGTCACACTTGACCACAGAGTGCCCTAGAAACCGCCATTGCCGCCCCGAGATCTCCCCGAGGTCCACGCCGCCCCTCCCATCCCCGCGGGCGCGGGGACGCAGTCGCCCTTGCTCCCGCCAAGAGTTTCACGGGCAGCGAGGACCTCGTCGAAACAGTCCTCGTCCGAGGCGAGGTCCAGATCAACCTCAGCTGCCGAGGCCCCTCTACAAACCCGTCCGTGTTCAACAGAACGGAGTCCACTTCCCAGGGGCGCACACATCCGATCCCATTCACAAGCTCGCGCGCGCACGCGCGGGTTTCACAGGCCTCGTTGAAAACGACGTGCGTCGCTGGGGTCCTCCAGAGTCCCGCTCCGTTTAACCCATCGGTCGGCCAGATCATTACCAAGCCTGCACCACGCGTCGTTGAAATGCTGGTCCTGGCTCGCTCCGGCATGGACTCGGACATTCCTGACAGCGGCGCCATCGCCGCGCCACTGCCACCAGAGTGTCCAGAAGGGCCGTATGGCGCTCGCTGGGAAGCGTTTTTTTTTGTTTCCCCTCCTGGTTCGCAGAGCAGCCGGCCGACCCTGAGCAGTCCGAGAACTACAACAACGAGGGGCGCTTCCACTTCGGGCAGCACAGCAGATTGCGCCAGCACGTGAAACGCAAAGCGTCGTCGAAGTCCCTGGAGCTCCCGCCAGGGGGCCAAGCCAGGGGGCCAGCTCCGTACACGGCGTAAGTCGCGGAAGCTGCCATCATCGTCGATACAGACCGCCGCCCAACAAGGTCTGCGCAGGTCACCGCACCGGGCGCGGAGCGCAGACCCGTCAATGGGCGGTTCACGCTCGAAGGGCCAGCCTGGCGCACGCCTAGCGAACCTGCAATGGTCCTCCTCCTCCTCCTCCTCCTCCTCCTGCTCCTCCTCCTCCTCCTCCTCCTCTCTTCCTCCTCCTCCTCCTCCTCCTCCTCTCTTCCTCCTCCTCCTCCTCCTCCTCCTCCTCCTCCTCCTCCTCCTCCTCCTCCTCTGCCCAACAAAGCGCTCGGGAGAGGGCGGGGTGCCCGTCGCAGAAGCTCGATGCACTGATCGTCAACTGCTGCTCTCGCAGCCCCGAGAATTTCGGGAGGGCGACCCTGCCGCTGAATGACAGCAGCGCACGGGCAATCGAACACGCGATGCCGGAGGACGCCCTTGGCCCCGCACTGCCTGCACGGGGGGGGCAGTGTTCAAAGGCCCGCTGCTGGCACCAGTGGGCCCCGCAGCTGGCTGACCTGAAGGGGCGCTTGTGCCTCTTGCTCCGCGACGCGGAGCTGGCGCGGTTCAACTCCGCCATCGCTGGGCCCCACCTGGATTTCAAAGCCCAAGGAGCCTTGATCCGACGGGCCATGACATCCGACGCTACGAACGCTGCCTGCCTGGCGACCCAGGTCGGCATCCCAGGCGAAAGCAACTGCGCGCCCACCTCGCGCGCGGCATGGCCGACGAGGAAGTCAAATCTAGAGAGCTCGCAGTCGACGCGCGCAAACGAGAGCGCATCGACCTGGGCCGGGCCAGCGCATAGCGCCCGGGGGACCCTGGGCCCGAGGATGTCCCGAGCAAGCGGGCGCGCCGACCCGGGGGCTGCCTTGTCCGCGAAGCCGCCGTCATCTGCCGGGGCCCGCGCTTCGGCCACCTCCACGCGGGGCACAACCAGCGGCTCGCGGAAGTTCGCCTTCAGCACTGTCCTCATTTTGAGCCCCAGGGCGGATCTCGGCGCCAAGGGGCCTTCCGACGTGCAATCTGAGCCAGTTCAACTGGCCGTCAGCGATGCCCGCGATTGCCGAGCCCCGTGTCGCCGCGGAGCACGGCGAGCCGCGTTGCTGGCAACAGGTCATGGCCCCCGCCGACTGCAGCAGCTCGATCTTCGAGGCAGCCCGACTTTCTGTGGCCAGAGCCTCTCGTTCTGCCCGGGCACTCCGCGGCTGCCCCCGTCGGTGCCGTCGCCGCGCAGGGGCTTCAGCCTCGCGCGCCGCTTGGGCCCGATGTCCTTCCAGCCTTCGTCGAGGGCGGCAGCGAGCTCGGCGCGCGCGGCGATCCAGCCCCTCCTGCCCCAGTTGATCCCGAGGTCCCCCGCCTGCAAATCTCTGGTCAGGTCATAGCCCGCCCAGGTCAGCTGCTGGGCGACGAAGGGAATGGAGACGACCGCCCGGAGGTGGCAGTCGCCCGCGAGGCTCTGGACGCGCACGATGGGGGACTTGCTGGCCACCTTGCACACTTGAATGCGAGTTGAACAACATTTGAACTGCGCGCGGGCTAGAATTGAACAAGACGGCGCTACGCTTGAACTACGATGGCCCGCCTGAGACATGTGATTTTCATTTGAACAGCGCCTGAACCACACTTGAGCTACACTTGGACTTCACTTGCACCCAACTTCAACTGCACTAGAATTTCACTGGGTACACGTGATAACCGCCCTTGGGCTGCAATTACTACCGTCCTTGAGCCGCGTTTGGGCCACTCGTGGATTTCACTTGAACTACACTTGCATTCCACTGGCTGCGCCTGAACCGCACTCGAGCTACGCCCGGACTGCACTCGAACGACACTTGGGCAACACTTGAAGGACACGTCGGCTATAGTTGAACTGCGCAGGGGCTATATGTCCACTTCACTTGAACTAGAAAACTACCTTCCACCAAAGTGGAGGTGCGCCTTGGCTACACTTGAAGCCCACTTGGAACTTCATTTGGCCTACTCTCGGATTGTAATTGAACTTAATTGGAGCTACACACGAACCACACTTCGACTGCACTTGGTCTTCAAGTGCTACACCCGGCACGCAGGTAAACTAAAGCTGAATTACATCATAATCACATCTGGACTACACCTGAAGTGCATTCCGGCTACGCTTGAACTACAATGGAATCTCACTGGACCTACGAGTGCCACACCTGAACCGCACGTGACTACAACCACGCTTGCGCACGCAAGTGGGCGACATTCCAGCGCGTGAGCCAAAACCCAGGACCACCACAGTTCGTCTCATGCTGCCAATGCGCTCCGCGCGCGGCACTGTGGTGTCTCGTGCGTTGCACGCGCGAGGTTGCGACGTTTCCTGCGCCGCCAAGACGCGCGGGGCTCAGCGCTTCGCCATCGCCCCGAGAAGGCGCAACAGACGGCAAGGCAACGCGGAACGAAGGTGCTTCGGATTCTGTCGCCCATTGACGCGCGCGTTTTTGTTACGTATTATTTTCGCATTTGCGCGCTCGTTTTTCAAGCCCCCCCCCAGACTGCCGTGCAGTTGCTGCAGGGCCACCTATCGCGCGCGCGCCCGCGCGCCGCGGACTTTGCGCGCGACGCCCCACTTGCAGGCGCGACCAGAGATGGCGAGCTGCTGATCGCATATATCATCCGCGATTCCAGTTGCCTTTGCCATGTAGGGCAGCCGATTGGTGATTCCTGGTCATGCTGGTGATCAAGACCGCGTGTTTAAAGTTGGAGGTGCGCTCTCGCGGGCGCGGCGGGCGGGCGAGTGAGTCCAACGCATTTGACAGTTAACCTCGATTGCTTCTTCATTCCCTGGGATTTTGCCTCCGCACGCTCTGCCGATGGGACGCCGAACGAGCCGGCGTGATGTTTGGGGGGGCCGGCAAGGGAACGCGGTTGGTTGTTGGTTTGCCTCCGCCCGCCCCCTCCATGGCAGCGGCGGCTTCCCCGGGCAGTTTTCCGTCGAGCTAGAGGTCCGGCAAACGGGCGCCGGATGCCATCGGGTCTTTTGGGCCAGGCCGACCTGGCTGAGGAACGTGAGGAACGCCAGCTCGGGGATCAGCGGCAGCCCTGGCCTTGGCCGCCTCCTGCTCAGCAGTGGCCTTGGAGTCGCGCGCTTGCTTGGCCCCCTTCAGGAAGGTGTCGGTGACTCGATTGAAATGCCCCATGCCCGGCTGCTCCGCGACGTTCGAGCACGTCGTGTCGAGGGCCGCGAATGTTGCCGTTCCGAATGTCGCACCGTTCTTCTCCAAGTTAGTGCAGTGCTGCTTTGGCATTCTTTGACCTCGCCAGCTTGTCCAATTTTGAACGGCGGCGCAGTCCCATGCCTACGCGTCTGGCGCAACTCCTCGTCGTAAGCTTCCTGGGCCTTCGCGAGGAGTTCTGCCTTCTCCACGGCCGCGCTCGCGCGCCCCATCGGCTTGCCGTGCCTTGTCCGCACTCTGCTGCAACACCTGAGCCAAGGACTTCGTAGACATACGCATTGTAGAGCTTCATGGACAGGCATCGGCAGCTTTTCCAATCACCGTCGTCGGATTTTCAATTTTCGTCCTTTTGCCGCGTGCCCGGACGCGAATCGGCTTATGGTGGGCGCGTGCTGCACAGGTCCGGCGTCGGCCTACGCGCTGCAGGTAGTTCCGTGCGCTTCGGTCGTGGACCACGGTAGAGAGCAAGGCGAGCTCGGGGCAAGGTGGGTGCGCATTACGTACCCACCTTCGCCCGAGCTGTTGGCACTGGTTTCGGCGGCGGCGGGCCCCTCCTCTGAAAGCGGCACCTTTCCCCCCGAAGCTTCGGCAGCGTTCTGATGGGGGGGGGGGGCGAGGGCCGCAGCGCCGTGTCGTCGGCCCCCAAGGGGGGCGGTGACCACACCGCGCGCCAAGTCGGTGAGACTTCGGGGTCACCGCGCGGTTTTGGGACTCGGGTTGAGTCGGGCATGTCCTTTTGCAAGGAGGAATATCCAGGAATAGTAACAAATACGGGGGATGATTTTGCCATTATTTGTTTGACTGTATTGGAGTATGTTTTGGCGATGCTCCATTTGTCATGGAGGAGGACATGCCCGACCTCAGACTCGTGTCGTTCCCCGAGGACCTCTCGGGTGACTCAGAGGTCACCGTACGGTCTGTCACCGCACCGCTTCTGGACTCCCCCCCCCGATTGCAAGTGGCCGTCGTCCTTGGTAAAGGTCGACCGTTTCTTTCGTTAGACCGCTCGCCACTCCATCCTGCCGGCGACGGCCTCCTCCTCCTCCTTTTTCCTCTTTGTTTGTTCCTCTTTCTCCTCTACCTGTTCCTCCTCCTCCTTCTCCTCCTCATCGTTTTCCTCCTTTCTCCCCCGTGTTTCCTCCTCAGTTCTCTGCTCTCCTCCGCCCTCCCCCTGCCGAGCAGGTACCCGAGCGCCGGGCCGCAGTCGTACATCACGTGCGAGCGGTGCGGCGTCGGCCACTTCAGCGCGGTCAGCGCCTCCCCCGCGTGCTCGCCGTGCGGGGTCGGGAGGTACACGGACCGCACGGGCGCCACGGAGTGCGAGCTTTGCCCGGAAGGCAAGTACACAGGCAGGGTTCCTTCCGACTCCTCCGATTCCATCGGGTTCGACCTCCTCCTCCTCCTCTTCCTCCTTCCCCTCCTCTTCCCCCACCCCTCCTCCTCCTCCTCCTCCTCCTCCTCCTTCCCCTCCTCCTCCTCCACCCCTCCTCCTCCTCCTCCTCCTCCTCCCCTCCTCCTCCTCCTCCTCCTCCTCCTCCTCTCTCCTCCTCTCCTCCTCCTCCTCCCCCTCCTCCGCCGCCTCCTCCTCCTCATCATCATCATCATCCGCCTCCTCCTCCCCCTGGGCCCTCCTGGGGCCAGTTTTTGTTAGTCTGGGCGAGAACGCTCGTGATCGCCCCCGCCCCTCCCCCCCCCCCTTCACGTCACGCCGTTTCCCCCACGTGTGTCTCAGGGAATCTTCCACGGCTTCCCAGGGCATCGCAAGGGTTTCCGGGGAAATGCGTCGTCGTCGCCGTGGTCGGCGAACAAAAGGGGCCCTGGGAGGCCGAAGCCCGCCGTGATGTGAGCGGGGGAGGGGGCACCCCCCCCTCGGAGGTGGATAGACCTCCGATATGGGAGGCGGGGAGGGGGGGGGGAGACGCAAACCCTGAAAACATGGGCAAGCATGGGGAGAACCAGCGGACTTGTGCCTGTTTCTTGTGTGTGTGTGTCCCTGGGCCCCTTCACACCTGCTCCCTCCGAGACGCAGCCCGCTCCTGATGTGGGCTCCCGATCAGAGAAACCGAGCCCCCCCCCCTCGGGGGTGGACAAACCTCCTACCCTGACACGTCGATTGAGGAATTGGCCGTTTCGGTTCGCGAGAGGGCGTCGCGGCCGTCGTTTTTGCCGGTCCAGGTCCGTCGGTTTCGGTCCAAGGCCGTTTTCATTAAGGGGATGTTTACTAAAGGGAGGTTTGTCCACCGCCGAGTTATCGCGGGTAATACAAAAAAACAGATTCCTGCACAGGCAAGAGCGGGCAATCCGCCTGCACGGACTGCGCGGCGGGGAAGTACGCCAACGCGACGGGCATGACCACGTGCGAGTCGTGCCCGGAGGGATCTGCGAGCTTGGGCGGTCAGGGCTTTTGCGACGCGTGCTCTCCAGGGACGTACGCTTACCGCCCCGGGCTTTCTGAGTGCGTGCCGTGCCTCGTCGGGGAGTTCGCGCCAGACAACGGGTCCAAAAGCTGCGATTCGTGCCAATCGGGGAAGTTTGCGGCACAGGCGGGGTCCTCCCAGTGCGAGGCTTGCGACTTTGGTCGGTACGCCCACGACAGGGCAGCCGTCTGCACCCAGTGCGGTTTGGGGATGTACGCCGACAGGTTGGGCATGAGTGAGTGCCTTGAGTGCACCGTGGGCAGGTTCGCTGGATCGTTCGGGATGGACCTCTGCGAGGTGTGCTCGGCCGGGAGGTTCACGGATCACATCAAGAGCGACGCGTGCTCCGATTGCGAGGAGGGGTCTTTCAACAATGTCAATGGGTCAAGCGGATGCGAGCTTTGCCAGCCCGGAGAGTTCTCAGCCGAAGAAGGTTCGACTTCATGCGAGCAGTGCCCGGCGGGGACATTCAGCTCGAACGACGGCGCTGAGATGTGCCTGAGCTGTCAGCGAGGGACCGCGTCCGCTGAGGGCGCGACCGCATGCGACGTGTGTCCAGAGGACCGCGCCGCGGAATCGTCCACACAGTGGGGGCGCGCATCAAGAAACCATATGCTTTTCGTCAGGGTACCCTTGGTTTCTTTCCTCCGCGCGCTGCGCTGTGGCTTTTCGTGGCCGTTGAAGGAGCTGCTGCGTTCGGGTTGCTCTGGGCTCCCCTTAGTTTGCACCCCGCGCCTGCGGGTTTCAGGGCTGGGTTTCTTGCGAGGGTTTCTTGCGGCCAAGCCCGCACTGTACCCACCGATTCGGAGACGTGCCCTCGAATAGGAGGAGGAGGAGGAGGAGGAGGAGGAGGACGACGAGGAGGAGGCGGCGGAGGCCGAGGGGGAGGGGGAGGAGGAGGAGGAGGAGGAGGAGGAGGAGGAGGAGGAGGAGGGTATGGACGAGGAGGAGGAGGATCTCTCATCACTCGAAGAAGAGACACGGCCGACACGTCAAATCTCGGAGCTCCAGGCGGATCTCTTTTGGTCGGCGCCGAGGACCTCCCTGGCGTGCGCTCCGCGCGCCACGGAGCGGGTGGCCGCTCGCTCGCTCCTGCGGCCCACAGGGCGCCATCGTTTTTTGCACCTGCCCGTGTGCTTGCAGGGATCTGGATTGAAGTCGGGCCCGTCCCTCTACAGGAGGGATCTTCAAAAATAGTCAAAAAATAGTCTGGGGACGATTTCTTGATTCGCTCAAAATCCCCCTGTAGGGGGACAGGCCCGACTTAAATCTGGACGCTGTTGTCCGTGGCCATTTGTTCAGGTGCTGCAGTTTCTTGGCACATGGAGGGCCACGTTTGGGCCTTCGGTCCATCCCGCCACTGTGCCCGGGCCAGCGGCCTCTGGGATGCATGTGTGGGCCTCTCGGAATGCCTTCCAGGGACCTCTTGGATCAAGGGCATCAGAAGCCCCCGACCCTGGTTTACGAGGCGGTGTGCGCTGAAACTCCTGTGGGCTGACAGGGTAAACCCTGCGTGATGTGCGGCGTCCTGGCGGCTCTCTAGGTTTTGGGGGTCCCCAGGAGGTTTTCAGACCACGCACTTTGAGGAGGGGAAAAGCACACAGACACAATGTATCGTCGATTCCTAGGAAAAGATGGGAAAAGATAGGAAGTGAGGGGGAAGACGAAAACCCAGAACATATTTGAACATATGGGGAATCCTGGGATCTGTGTGTTTTTATTCGTGTGTCCTTGGGCCCCTCCACACTTGTAGCCCAGGGCAGGGCCGTTTTTGTTCATCATCCCTCAATTGGAAGGATCTTCGGGGTCTGTGGCCTTCTATGCTGGGTTTCCGATTCCGATCCGATCAGGTCCCGATCCGGCATATCGCTGATCCGAGTTCGAGTGTCCGAACTTGTGGAGGGTTGGCCTGCGGTGATTCCAGGAAGCTTTGGTCCATTGGGGCGGCCAGTTCTCCGAGAGGTGAGGTTGGAGTTGTTCATGATTCGATCGGGGAAACAGGACTCGAGTAAGCCGGAACTCGGGCTTGCCGACGTTTTCGGTAACCTTGAGACGGGGATCAGTGCAAACGGGGGTCAGCCAGAGCGCCGGATCTTGCAGGCTCCTGAAGGGACAGGGTCGCATTGACCCGGGTTGGGGTGCAGGATCCTGCAGGATTTGGCAGGGTCCTTCGCATTGACCTTGGTTTGGGTGCAGGATCTTGCAGGATTCTGTAAGGCCTGACTGACCCGGGTCTGGATTGACCCGGGTCAGAAGATCCCCGACGTTTTTTGACGAGCGCGTCCTGGATTTTCACGGTCCGGTTGTCGTGGGATGTCTGCAGCGGGAGTTCGCGCGTCAAATTTCAGATCGGGTTTCGTCTTTTTCATTGATGGCCCCGTCCGGCCAACCCGAGTCCCCCGAACCCGCGTTTTACGTCCCCCCGATTCTAATTCACGCGCCTGCAGACGCTTCCTTCGGGCCAATCGCGCCATCTCTGCATAAGCTCCCGCAGGGATCCGCACCACGAATCCCGCCCTCGGGGGGGGGCGGTGTCCACATCCAACGCATCGCGAGATTTGAGTCGTGCCTGTCCCTCTACAGGGGGAATCTCCTAAAATAGTCAAACAATAGTCTGGGAACTATTTGTTTGGTATTTGTGACCATTTGGGAATATGTTTTGACTATTTTCAATTTTTCGCCCAAAATCGGCCTGTAAGGGGGACATGCCCGACCTAACGCGAGATGCCCGGGGGCACGTCTTCAGATCGGTGGGCACGGAAACGTCCGCGGCGTGGACCAGGGCAAATACACCAACGTCGACGAGGCGTCCGCATGCATAGAGTGCGACAACGGAACCTACAACGGCGAGCAGGGCAGCGACAGGTCAGGGCCCACTTCGAATCGATTCGGCATCGATCCCAGTGGGTTCGAGCCCGTGCGATGTCGATCTTCCGACGACCAGATGCGGCCCGGGGTTTGCATGGTTCTGTTGCGCGTTTTGGCGCCGCCGATCTGATTTGAACTCTTTCCCGTCAGCGTGCTGCTCCGTCGTTCCTGCCCGAAGGCCTTGTACTACTTCCACTGTAAAGCGCCGATGCGTTCCCCATGGCTCTATGCCTCCCAAATTGGGTCCGAGTGGATGGGGCCGAAGGATCGCGCCGCATCGCCGATGCATCGGCGATGCAGCTCGATGTGGAGCCCCACTTTCTTCCACGTTGACGTCGCCGACGCATCGGAGATACATCGGGCCCCCTTCGGGAGGCCCCGGAACGGCTGCGTGCCTTGGATACTACTCTTGCTCAGTATCGTCAAACCGCTTTCTATCCCCATCTCCATCCCCATCCCGGTCGCTGCTATCTCACCACCCCAGTGAGGGCCAGGGGGCTTGGCGTCGCTCGGACGTCCGAGGGCGAGGGCCATCGAGGAGAATCCTTGATCATTTGGCGGAAAAGCCACGCACGAAACCGCAACAAAACACAGGGAACGGACCTCCGAGCGATGGCCAGGGGGGCACATGGGCCAGGGGGGGCTCGGGCCAGCGGGGCCCAGGCCACGCCCGTGGGGACGGGGATGGGCGAGTCGGTGCTCACTGTCGGGAGGGAGGTCCACACACAGACACACAATCATCAAACGTCGGCTTCCACAAAAATTCGGGGGAGAAAAAGATACGGATACGTGTTGTCCCCCTTCGTTTTCGGCCTTTCCTGGTCCTCCTGGGGAATCCTCGTTGTCACCGCTGGATTCGCCTCGAAATTCTGGTCAGAACGCACCCCAAGAGAGGTCCGGGGACAACACGTATCCGTATCTTTCCGCCCCCCAACAAACATGCTGGAAGAATGTGGGAAGCGGGGGGGTGGGGGGGAGAAGACGCAAACCAAGAAAACATGGGCAAGCACGAGGAGAACCAGCGGACTTGTGCCTGTTTGCCGTGTGTGTGTGTGTCCCTGGGCCCCTTCACACCGGCTCCCTCCGAGACGCACCCCGCTCCTGATGTGGGCTCCCGATCAGAGAAACCGGGCCCCCACCTCCCAAGTCCCACCATGGGGAAGGACGCGATTACTAAAGGGCATAAAAAACGCCCCCCCCCCCTCCCAAGTTTCACCAAGTTAAACGAACCCCATCCCCATCCCCATCCCCTTCGACACTCCTACCAGATTACAACTCCTGTTGGGGATACACCCCTCGAAACCCGAAGGGGACGACCTACATCCCCATCTAGGGGGGTGAATCGGCCAGTGGGGCCCAGACCACGCCGCTGGGGATGGGGATCGGTTAAACGATACTCGGTTACGGTCAACCCGCAGAAGAAGGATGGGCAGCCTTCCCAAGGGTACCCCTGCATCCCTGCCTCCTCGGTCTACCCTTCGCCATGTTCGTTGGCCGCGCCCCGCGAGGAGAGCTTCGAATTTGGCATCCAGGGCTCTTGCATCCTTACCGCGCATCCTTGCTGCACGGGTTGACTGTAGGGTTTTCGGCAGAGCTCTTTTTTCCTGATCGTGTCGCTCCCATTATTTTCTCTTATCGCGCGGCCCACCCTGCAGGTGCGAGTGGTGCGACCCCGGGAGGGCGAGCGGCCGGGGGGCCACGGCGTGCGGGGACTGCGAGGAGGGCAGGTACGCCAACGGCTTCAGGTCCTTCCTGCTCCGCTCTCCTCCTCCTCCTCCTCCTCCTCACTCTCCTCCTCGTCCTCACCCTCTTCCTCCTCCTCCTCCTTCTCCTCCTCACCCTCCTCCTCCTCCTCCTTCTCCTCCTCCTCCTCCTCCTCCTCCTCCTCCTCCTCACCCTCCTCACCCTCCTCACCCCCCTTCTTTGTCCCCCCCTGTCCCCCTTCCCTCCCTCCTCTCCCTGCTCTCCCTCCTCTCCCCGGTTTCCTTCTCCCTCCTCGCCCTGGTCTCCCTCCTCCCTCCCTCCTCTCCCTGCTCTCCCTCCTCTCCCTGGTTCCCTGTGCTCCTCCTCGCCCTGCTCTCCCTCCCCTCCCTCCCTCCTCGCCCTCCTCTCCCTCCTCTCCCTTGCTCTCCCTCCTCTCCCCTGCTCTCCCTGTCCTCCCTGTCCTCCGTCTCCCCTGTGATCCTTCTCCCTTGTGCTCCGTCCCCGCTGCTCCCTCTCCGTTCCTCCCTCCTCCCCCCTTTGTGCTCTTCCGTCCCTCTGGTCTTAAGTCGGGCCTGCCCCTCTACAGGAGGAATATCCGGAAATAGGCAAAAAAAAGTATGGGGACTATTTTTTGACTATGTTCAAGCATTCGGGTGGTATTTGTCTATTTGTTCTTTCTTCGCTCCAAATCCGCCTGTAGGGGGACAGGCCCGACCGAACTCTGGTCTTAAGTTGGGCGTGCCCCTCTTCAGGAGGAATATTCGAACATAGTCAAAAGTATAGTGCTGGGGCGATTTTTCTACTATTTCTTACAATCTTGGAACATCGTTTAACTATGGCAGATTTGTCGTTCAAAATCCTCCTGCAGGGGGACATGCCCGACCTCACTCTGGTCCCTCTGGTCTTTTGTGGTCTTCTCTCCCGGAGGGCCCCAGCTTTGCACATGCACCGGCCCTGGCTTGGCCCATCTAGCGTCAGGGGTCGGCGTGCACGCCTTCCTGGCCGAGCCAGGGGGGCGTCTGCACCAATCCTGGAGCCATGACCTGCCTGGCCGGGAACCGTGCAGGCGTAGAGTTGGTGCCCCTCCCCCCCATCGGTCTGCGAGCTGCACGGAGTGCTGGCCCGGGAGCTTCGCGGACGAGCCGGGGCTGGACAAGTGCAAGGCATGCTCCAAGGTCCACGGGAGGAGGCCGGGGAGGAAGTGTCGGGGGCGCCCAATGAGGGGTGTGACGGCTAGGGTCAGGAGGGGAAAAAACACACAGGCACAATTGATCGTCGATCCCCCCGAAAATATGGGAAGATTGGGAAGTGGGGTGGGAAGACGAACCCCCCCCCCAAAAAAAAGTAAACTATGGAACCCCTCTCTTGGACGCCTCCCTCATTGGACGTCCCCGATTATCGCGGCCCCCGTGCGGTTTCGCTATCGAGAGACCATTGCGCCAATCTGTCGGCGATGCTTCCCCCCAGAGCCGGTCCCCCCCCCACCATCGTTCACCCTGGCAGCAGTCGGAGGTTCACAGACCCCGCCTTGCCAAGTCGGTTGGCGAATTGCCTTCGTTCGGTCCTCGGGAGGGCGTTTCGGCCGCAGTCTGTGCGGGCCTACGCCCGCTGGGGTTGGTCCCAGGCAGTCTGTTCGTTCAGGTGGGGGTTGCTGAAGCGGGCTGTGCCCACCCTCGAAGCAGAGGATCTTTCCGTCATCCCCGAGTTTTCTCTGTCTCTCTCTCTCTCTCTGTCGCTTTCTCTGCGCAGGCGACTTCGTGCCCCCGATTCCCGAATCCCTTCCCTCCCAGAAACGTGGGGAAAGCGAAACTCAGGGACGTACCCCAGGGATGTCTTACATTACGTCTCCTACGCTCAGTGCCGTTCGACTTTTTCCTTACCCTATGGTGCTTCGCGGCATCCATCCCCCCTCGACAGAAAAGGCTGGTGGCGTTGAAGAGCCCTGGCTGCCTGGGGATGGGGATCGGTCTGGCGATTCTGAACCGCTGCTCGCCCTTTCTCTCTATCACTCTCTTTCTCTCTCTCGCACTCTCTCTCTCTGTCTCTCTCGCACTCTGTCTCTCTCTCTCTCTGTCTGTCTGTCGGTCTGTCTCTCTCTCTCTCTCTCTCTCTCTCTTCTCTCTCTCTCTCTCTTTCCCTCTCCCTCTCTCTCTATATATGTATAGATGCATTCGCCCCTGCTTATGGCGTGGAGCTAGGTACGCGCGGGCGCACATTTAAGCATTTGCGGCAGCAGGGATACAGCAATTCGTCCACGTTGCCTCGTCCCCGGGCGTTCCGCAGCTGGTCTCGCTTCCGCATGAGCACCCAGCGGGTGCGCAGGCGCAGGTTGACGGGCCTGTCTTCCACCACCACCACCACAAGCCGGAGGGGGGGAAGAGGACGAGGAGGAGGACGAGGAGGAGGAAGAAGAAGAGGAGGAGGAGGAGGAGGACGACGAGGAGGAGAGGAGGAGGAGGAGGGGGAGGAGGGAGGAGGGAGGACGAGGAGGAGAAGGAGGCGGAGGAGGAGGATGAGGAGGAGGAGGAGGAGGAGGAGGAGGAGGAGGAGGAGGAGGAGGAGGGAGGAGGGAGGAGGAGGAGGAGGAGGAGGTGGTGGAAAGCAGGCCCGGCACAGGCAGCTCGCCCGCGGGGCCGCGCGATCGAGCGCCCGCCGCGCCGCCCGTGCGCGAGGGGCCCGCCCTCCCCCGGCCGGGCGGCGGGCGCTGGGCACGACGCCCGAGCCGGGGGGTGCCCGCGCGTCGTGCCCGAGGGCCCGCGGTGGGCTTTTGGTTTGTGTCTCGGGCCGGACGAAAAGGGGGGGATTGGGAAAGGGGGGGGTACGAAATCTGCTGCATGCAGTTGGTTTCGGCCTCGCCGAGGGGCCCACTCCTCGATACGTAGCCGCCTCCGGCGCCGGGAGGCGCCGGGGAAATCAGCTACGTGAGCTGATTCTCAAACCCCCCTTTTGCTATCCCGCCCTTTCGCCCGACCCGAATGTCGGGCGTGTCCCCTACAGGGGTATTTTCGACGAGAAATAACAAAACCCAAACATAGACAACAAATAATCCAAAAATAGTCTGGGTACTATTTTTGGAGTATTTTTTTGACCTTTTGGGGGTATGTTTGGGGTATTTTTGTGATTTTCGTCGACAATCCCCCTGTAGGGAAACACGCCCGACATAAGCTTTGGTCGTCGCGGCTGCGCTGCGCTGCTGCAGGGAGGCAGTGCGGCTGCGTTGCTGCGCTGGCTGTGTGCACAGGCGTGCACACGTCCTCGTGCATTCACCTGCGTCTGCAATGCATATGCGCGCAACTATTCATTGTGTATATATATATGTATTTGTGTGTATATATATATATGCACATATGTGTGTGAAGTACAGCTGTGCCACTCTGTTGGAGGGAGTCGCTGGAGTCGGGACCTCCAGCGGGTCGTCGTCGTGACGCGCAGTGGGCAGCTGTGCCACTCTCTTGGAGGGAGTCGCTGGAGTCGGGACCTCCAGCGACTCGTCATCGTGACGCACAGTGGAAAACGAGCACGCTGCGCTGGCGCTCTGGGAGGTGTGCGGCCGAGCTGCATCCCTGGACATCAAAGGTTGTGCCTTTCTCCAGCTACGGTTCCTGGAGTTCCCGAACCCTTCTTTGTTGGGGACAGTTTCTCATCTCGGATCGTTGCTCGAGCCCACAAAGGGCCAAGCGGTGGCCCGAAATGGTAACAATGTTTTTGTTGTTTGTTCCAGGCGTTGGATGTCTGGGTGAAGAGATATCGCGTCGTTCTGCCTGCGGTTTGAGTCCAAACCCCCGACGTCATCACGCTCTCTTTCGCGACGTGGACCCCTGGTGGTTTCGACCCGTTCCGCGGCACCGGCTTTTCAGCCAGAATCGTTTTGTTGACAGTCTTGGGGCCCAGAGAAGGCCCCCCAAGGCCGAAAACAGCCAATGACCTCCCGTCGTGCTTTTCGCGACGCGAGGGAATTCTGGACTGCGGTTTTCCGGCCCCGTGCCAGGGGCAGTTCGTCGGGGTCTTTGGCGCCACGGCGTGCGACGAGCAGTGTTCGCCGGGCACTTACGCGGAGTTCGCGGGCTCGGCATCGTGCGAGAACTGCACGGCGGGGAGGTATTCGGGCCAGACGAAAGGGGGGATTGGGAAAGGGGGGGGGTACGAAATTTGCTGCTGCATGCAGCTGGTTTCGGCCCCACCGAGGGGCCCATTCCTCGATACACAGCCGCCTCTGGCGCCGGGAGGCGCCGGGAAAATCAGCTACGTGAGCTGATTTTCAAACCCCCCCTTTGCTATCCCCCCCTGTCGCCCGGCCCGAAGGTATGCCGAGGGCGTCGGCTCGACGGCGTGCGAGGCGTGCCTTCCCGGCAGCTTCGGCGGGGCGGAGGTCGGGGCGGTGCCAATCCTCCGAGGAGGGAGAGGTACGGATACCGTGAGATAACCTCTGGCGGCTCCCCCTAACCCCTTAGGGGGGTGAAAATGAGCGCCTCGCTCGAGACATCCTCCAAATCTGCTCCGGAAGCGAAGGATGTTGGGAAAAAACAGGCAAACCGCTCGAGACATCCCCACAAAACGGCCGCGAACGGGACCGTGAGAAACCCCAGGCGGCTCCCCTTAGGGAGAGGTACGGTTATGTCGGGCTTGTCCCCCTACAGAGGGATTTTCAATGAAAAATGGTAAATGCCCCCAAAATACCCCAAACAGGTCAAAACAATACTAAAACAAATATAGTCCCCATACAATGTTTGGACTATTTTCGGATTATTTTTGGGAGTATTTTTTATTTCTCGTCGAAAATCCCCCTGTAGGGGGACAGGCCCGCCGACTTAAAGGTACGGATACCGCCTCCCTTGCCTCACTTCCGCTTGTTTGGGGTTCCCTGGGATGCCCTCGTCGCCACCACGCCATCGTTGGCTTCGTCGTCGGAGCCCTGGGCAGACTGTCTCCCAGGAGAGGTCCGGGGAGCAGCGGTGCTGGTACCTGTTTTTGTCCCCTGAAACAACGTAGCGAAGTAGTCCAAGTAAGACTTTTCGTCTTATTCTACCTGCCGGGCCATTTCAGGCCCCAGGTCGGTTAGAAAATGCTCCAAGGCGAGATTATGGTGCCTATCAATTATTCCAGACACCCATGGATTCCGTTTACAAGAGCCAAGACAATAACGTTAGATGTATGGAATTGTCCATTCAAATCAGAGTAGGAGCGAGTCATGATGATTCATGATGCGCTTCAAGGTTTCCAAGTTCCCCCACCTGTCCCGCGCAAACAGACACGAATGGCCGAACACGAATGGCCGCGCCAGAAGCTCGAACTCCTGGAACGCATCCTGAGCCAATCACATCATGATTTTTGTTTGTCAGGAGGAGAAAAAACACACAGACACAATGAATCGTCGATTCCCCGAAAAATATGGGAAAACATGGGAAGTGGGGGGGAAGACAAAAACCCAGAGCATGTTAGAAAATATATGGGGATCCTGTTATTTGTGTGTGTGTATTTATGTGTGTGTGTGTATGTGTGTGTGTCCCAGGGCCCCTTCACTATCAACACGCACATCGGCACTGGCCCAGCCGTAGTCGACGCACGAAGGTCGGGCGTCCCCAGAGGCCTCCAGAGGCAGGGGTCTCCACACGCGGAGCCCCCGGCGCGCGGGAGGCCGCCGGAGGCCCGGAGGAGGGCGAGGAGGACGGAGGAGGATCGAATGAGGCCCAGAGGAGGACGAGGAGGACGAGGAGGACAGAGGAGGACGAGGAGGACGAGGAGGACAGAGGAGGATTCTCGCGCCAGGGAGGGGGTCACGGCGTCGGACCTCCGAAGTCCTATGCTTGTGTGGCTGTTTCCCCTCCAGGGCAGTTCGGGTGCCACTCCCGGGAGGTTCAGTTCGGCATCCGCCCCGTGACATCCGTGGTCGGCAGCCGGCCCGATCCAGTAGAATCCGGCCAATCCGGGCTCAATCACATGCAATCCGTTTCCTGGTGGGCTTGTAATCTAGTGTAATGGCTTTGCAATACAGCGTAGTCGCCTTAATCGTTCTCGCGAAGACCTCCCAGAATATGCCTCCGAACAGGGGGAGGCTCGGAGGAGGAGGAGGAGTGGGAGGGACGGTTGTTGCCCCCCAGACGAGGGTTGGTCTTCCTGCTCCAAGTGCCCGAGCGGCTCGTTCTCCGACAAGATGCTGGCGACGGAGTGCACGCTGTGCCAGCTCGGGCGCTCCGCGGGCGAGGTGGGCGCCGTGTCGTGCGAGATCTGTGAGGCTTGGGTGCCCCTGAATCAACCAATGACGAAGTGTCCAGGCTCGCCTAGAGGCCTACCAACTAATAGTCTAAGATCCTTCTGTTGTTTGCACGACATGTTCTTAGAACATTTCTGGCTGTGTCTGTCTTGTTTTAACACTTCGGGCTTACGCTCTAAGAACCTTGCTTTCGTTATTAGAATATTCTTAGGATCTAAGACCATGTCGTGGTAGGCATATAGGAATGCCGGGACGGTCGGTCCCTGCTCAACTGAAGTCAGGGACAAAACCAATGGGATTAGGCTCCAGTTGGAACGTATGGATCCCCTCTCACATAGGTGCCCGATGACCCACCACGCACAGGAACCTGTGGTTTCGGTATCGAGGGCCTATCGCCGATCGGTCGGTCGATCGGCGATGTATCACCGACTCCAGCTCCATACTTCCCCCACCGAGCCGGGAGAAGAAGGATGATGATGATGATGTTGATGCTGATGTTGATGCTGATGCTGCTGCTGCTGCTGCTGATGATGATGATGATGAAACATTTTGTCTTCGAGCTTCGCGGGGGATCTCAACGGATCGCCGTTGCTTCGGCTGATCCACCTCTCCTCCTGTTCCCCTTTCCCTCCCCTCCCCCTCCCTCCCTCTTGGAGGGGGCGAACTGGGCCATCCAGGGGGTGGATGAACAAGTGGGCCGTTCATCGGGTGGATGGAAGCGCGGTGGTGCGAGAAATCACAGCTGGGATTGCGGATGGCTCGGCCGTCCACTTTCACCTCGTCCCTCAACCATCTTTGCTGGAATCAGCTCCTGCCAGCTAGACAGCCCTGGGCCCTCTCGACTGTCTCCACTTCTCTTGCGTATTTAATGGTCCCACTGGCTTTCGATCTCTTCTCCCTTCATGTTTTCTCAGTGTCCTCCACACCTGTACTGCTGCCCTTCTAGACGCGGTGCACTCGCCTCGACGTTGGGTTGTCAAAAAAAGGGGGAGGAGGAGGGGAGGAGGAGGAGAAGGAGGAGAAGGAGGAGGAGGGAGAGGTGATAATGGGATGAATGAGGGAGGAGGAGGAAAAGGAGGTTCATAAGGATGAGCATGGAGGACGATGAGGGAGGAGGGCGGGAGCAGGATTGCGGAGGATGATGGAGGAGGAAGGAGGGGGGGCGGAAGGATGAGGACATGTGAGGAGGAGGAGGAGGAGGAGGAGGACGACGACGACGCGGGGCGAAAAGGGAGAAAAGGGACGACGAGGTGCGGGGCGAGAGGGCAGGAATGCTGGCGGGAGGGAGGGATGGAGGGAGGCATGGGGGCAGGAGAAGGGGAGGGAGAGGCGGGGTGGTTTGGGATCGGTGCAAGGGCGCCCTGGGTCGCGGGAGCCAAGGCGGCCAGGCGCGCGAGTACCCTTCCCCCGAGGCGCGGAACGCCTTTCCGAGGGAGCTCTGGGAAGGGGTTCCATGAGCCGGGTGGATGGCCCACTTGGGGCCTCGGAGCATCAGCCGGACGGATGGCCCACTTGGGGCCCTGGACCAGTGCAGGGGTACTGGGTGCCCCGGTGTGATGTTCCATGAGCCGGGTGGATGGCCCACTTGGGGCCTGGGGGCGGCGAGGGGGTTGCGCGCAGGGCGTGCGAGGGTCGGGGGCGTGCATGAGCCGGATGGATGGCCCACTTGGGGCCTCGGGGGGGGCGGCCTCCAGGAGCCGGGTGGATGGCCCACTTGGGGCCTCGGAGCATCAGCCGGACGGATGGCCCACTTGGGGCCTGCATTCGGCCTCCGCGGAACAGCGTTCGGGAAGGGCTGCGCGCCTTCCCGGAACAGCGTTCGGGAAGGGCTGGCGGCGGAGGGAATGGGGAGGGGTGGGAGCGGGAGAGCACGAGGTTGGAAGAAAGGGGCAAATGGAGGGAGGGAAGGGGAAGGGGACGGGGGAAGGCGAAATAGGACAGGGGAGCTGGGGGAAGGGAGGGGGAGGGGGGGGGGGAGGGATGAGGGAGGCAGAGTGCGAGAGAAAATGGGCGCGGTTGGCAGATGTAAGTAGCGGACTAGCATCAGTGAGGCGCTGAACGACACTGGTGTGGGACGCGGGGCGACGACGACGACGACGACGACGACGACGACGACGCGGGGCGAAAAGGGGAGTGAAGGGAGAAAAGGGGAGGTGGCGGCGGAGGGGGCAAGGGGCTGCGCGGTGGGCGGAGGCAGGGGGAGGGCCAGCACGGGAGCGTGCACGGGGCAGACCAGGCGAAGTGGCCACTTCGGCGCCACAGAAAGGGCGCGGCGGTCGACGGGCACACCTAGGACGAGAAGGAGAGAGGGTGGCAGAACAGCAATTCCAAGGCTGCCCCTCGCAGACAATTTGGCTTCACTCGTGCGGCCTGATCCCGCTTCGAGGTGTCTCCATGTCGACGCGGTAGCGGGCCGTGGGCCGAGGCGACCGAACTGCTCCGAACGCTGGGCGGAAAGGCGTTCCAGAAATCTTGGAACGCCTCCCCGAAAGCCGTTCCATGCACCCTTTCGACGGCCCACCTTCTGGATGGCCCTGTTCGCCCCGCCTAACCCTCCCGTCCTCCCGTCCCACTCCTCCCGCCTCTTCCCACGTCTCGTCCCACTCCATGCCTCGTCTCACTCCTCCTGCCTCGTCCTACTCCTCCTGCCTCGTCCTCCCTTTTGCCTCGCCCCCCCTCTCTCCTTCCTCCCTTCGCCTCTCCTTTCCTCCCCCCCCTCCTCCTGTGGCCTCCCTCTCTCTCTCTCTCTCTCCCTCCCGCTTGTGCCCCCCCTCCCTCCCTCCCTCCCTCCCTCCTTCCTCTCTTCTCTCCTCCCCCTCCTCCCTCCTCCTCACCCTCCTCATCCTCCTCCCTCCCTCGCTCCCTCTTCCCCCTCCTCCCGCCCTCCTCTCTTCCCCCCCCCCTCCCTTCGAGCGACTGGCCGCCGCCGCCCGTGCAGGCGGGGTCCTACAGTGCGCACCTTGGACAGTCGTCTTGCCTGGCGTGCCCCAGCGGAACGTTCTCGGGGCAGGAGGCGCCGCCCCCCCTCCTCCCCCCAGGGTCGCCGCCGCCGTCGTGGAGGGAGAAGGGAGGAGGAGGACAAAGAGGAGGAGGAGGAGGAGGAGGAGGAGGCGGAGGAGGGAGGAGGAGGAGGAGGAGGAGGGAGGAGGAGGAGGAGGGAGGAGGCGGAGGAGGGAGGAGGCGGAGGAGGGAGGAGGAGGAGGGAGGAGGAGGAGGAGGAGGCGGAGGCGGAGGAGGTGGAGGAGGCGGAGGAGGAGGAGGAGGTTCGAGGGTCCCGGTTTTGGTTGGGCGGCCCGGGGCGTTCTCGGGCTCCGCCGCCACTGTTGTGGCCTTCTCGGCTGGGGCGCCCTGGTCGCTGACTCGAGCAGTGGCGGCTCGCCTATAAGGCCCACCAAATAATGTTCTAAGATTCTCTATGGTCTGCAGGACATGTTCTTAGAACCTTTCTGGCTGATGTTGTCTTGCCTTCGCACATCGGGTTTATGCTCTAAGATCACTGTTCTTGTAGTAAGAACACTTCTGGGTTCTACGAACATATCGTGGTAGACCTATAGGAATACCGGGACGGTCGGTCCCCGCTCAACTGTCCCAGTCCTCCAGCGGACTGTTTGTTTGTTTCTTATGTCGCGGCGATTGTCTGAGTTTCGGTATGCGGGAGCTGGTTTTTGAGCTCTGGGGTCTGCGTACGCGATCCCACGATAAACAAAACATAGTTAAACATTGTGATCGTCGTCTTACTCATTGTCTTGCCAATCGGCGCGGGCCGTCGCGCCCCCCCTCCCCCCGCCTCGGAGTAGATATTGGCTTTTGTTTGGCGCATGTTTCGAGCCGGTGGAGGCTCCCCCACAGGACGCACTGCTGCACACAGTCGCGTCAGGCAGAGGTCCGGAGGCAGCCATCTCCTCTCCCCCCCCTGTCGGCCCAGTGTCCAAGCGCCGAAAAAAACAAACGTTCATCTTCAAATGGTCCGTCATACATGTTTCGGGACCTCGCAAACGAGGGGGGCACAGGGGGGGGGGGAGTTCGGTCCGTTGGCGCATCGAACCGCAGAAAGACGATGCAAAACGAAGTCTCCGGCCGCCGGAACCCGAGATGCGTCGACATTCGGGGCGAGCCGGGGGCATCGTTTTTCGGAAATTCGATGCACCAGCGGATCGACATCCCCCCCCACCCTCAGGGTCCCCCGCCTTTTGGCGGGCCCCGAAAGTTCTGACCTGGAGCGTCCCCTCGTTGCCCCGCTTGTGCTGGAGGGCAGGACTGTCGGTGAGCCGCGCGCCGAGACGTTCTCGACATTCGGCGGCTGTCTGGCCCGTTTCGCTTTGGACCTTTTCGCAAGGCTGTGCTCCGAGACGATCGGGTCTGCGTTGGTCCGGCCGGCTCGCTTGGCCCACGCGGCTCGGAGCACCCAGCTGCGGCGCGAGAGGTGGTCTGGCCCAGGTTGTCTGAACAACAGCAACAACAACAACAACAACAATAACAATATCAACAACAACAGCACAGATCCGCGCCCGGACAGCGCATCGGCAAGAATCGGGCCGAACGAAAGGGGAGGATAGGGAAAGGGGGTTTACGAAATCTGCTGCACCTAGCTGGTTTCGGCCCCGCCGCCGGGCCCATTCCTCTACACATGGGCGCCTCCCGGCGCCGGGAGGCGCTGGGAAAATCAGCCACGTGAGCTGATTCTCTACCCTTCCTTGTGCTATCCCCCCCTTTCGTTCCCCCCGAAAGAGGACTGGCTACGTGAAACACACGTGCATTAGAACGGGATTCGTGCACACCCGCCCCTGCAGGGCCTCGGAAGCGCACGCGGGCATTCTCGCAGTCTCTGGCGCAGGAGGTGCAGCGACCCGAGGTGGTCGGGCCCGTTTTGCCCAAGACATCCTCGCAGTTCTGGGCTCAGACACACTGGGAGTAAGTCGGGCGTGTGTCTCTACAGGGGGAATAGTCAAACAATAGTCTGGGGACGATTTGTTGGTATGTGTTGCGATTTGTGAGTTCCCTTTGAGTGCTGTACATTCTTCGTCCGAAATCCGCCTGTAGGGGGATACGCCTGGGAGGCATTGCGACAGATGGATGGCGCATTCTGCAAGGACAAACGCACGTTCTCCCCAGAGTCGCGGGATATCTCGGCAAGAACATGTGTTTTTTCCTACCAGTTCTGTTGGCGAATGTACTGCTGCGGTAACGACCGGAGGGCCGTGCGTCAAGATATCCTCAATGCTTGATGCTGCGCGTAACCCTGCCAGCCCATCCAGAGACGATGCCTAGAGGAGTCGCCTCGATCAGGGAAGTGGGCAGCACACAGAGGAAGGGTTCCTCCTGGAGCGCTTTGGAGCGCTGACGGTCCCGGGCGCCTCTTCGAGCGTTTTGGGTGCCTCGGGGAGCCTCTTAGGGCCTGTTGGGGGTGTCTTGGGAGTCTCTTGGGGGCATCTTGGGGCCTCCTTGGCGCCTCTTCGGGCCCTCCTGGGGCGCTCTTGGAAGCCTTCCGCGCCTTTGGAGCCGTCTTGGAGGAGATCGATCAAGCAAGCGGGGGTACTGAATTAGCCCTGCCCTTGTAGAGTGCCTAAATTCGTCCCTTGGACCCCTCTTGGAGTGCTCTTGGGCGATCTTTGGGCCATCTTGTGGCTCTCCTAGGCCTCTCTTAGAGCCCTCATGGGCCCTCTTGGAGCCATCTTGAGACCTCAGAAGGCCATCGAAAGCAAACAGGCGAGAAGGCCAAATTCATTCGTTTCCCTCCGGTTCTTGAAGGATTCTGGCATGGCGGCCTTCTGGGGCCGTCTTGGAGCGGTCTTGGGGCCTCGAGGAGCATCTTGGGAGCCATCTGGAGCCATCTCAGGCTATCTTGAGCCATCTTGGAAGTCATCTGGGGCTCTCTCAGGCCCGTTTGGAGCCATCTTGGGCCAGCTTGGACGCTCCAACGCCTCACGAAACCTGCCCTCCAGGTCCAAGGGAGGGGTTCAGCTACCCACCCGCCCGCAAGCTGTCTAGCTCATTTCCACCCGCTCTCCCAACACATAAGTAACACCCCGAGCCTGAGCATGTTCAGCGGTCGTCTTTGGATGGACAGCTACTGGGAACCAAAGCCGACCCGAGGTGCGCGACGCTTGGGCGAGATGCGCCACGCGTGCCAGGCGCCACGCGCGCCAGACACCCCTTGGGCCCGAGCGTGCCAGGCACGCCTGGTGCGCCAGATCTTGGCGTCGGATGTGCCGAAGCAGCCCGTTTCTCCCGAGTCCTCTTTGCATTCCTGGGCGCTTGGATCTGTTGCGCGTGGTCTCGCGAGTAGCCCGTGAGGAGGAGGACGAGGAAGATGGGAGGAGGAGGGTGAGGATGCGGGGCTTACCCTCTGAGACCACCAGCTTCTGCCAAGCAGTGACCGATTCAACGTTGGTCTCTTGGCCGAGAGCGTGGCCGCCGCGGACGACGTCCCGTCGCTGGGGGAGTAGGAGGATGAGGAGAGTGTGAAAGGCTGATCGTGTTCAGTCGGGTACGTCCCTGTACAGCTGTACAGGAGGACTATTCAAGAGTAGTCGAAGAAAACTCTGGGGACGGTTGTCCGACTATTTTTTGTTATGTTTGAACATCGTGTGACTATGGTTTGCTTTCTTTATTTTTCTGCCTGTAGGAGGACATGCCCGACATTACATCAAATTCTGACACGCAACGGCCGATCCAACGTTGGTCTCTTGGCCGAGACCGCGGCCGTCGCAGGCGACCTCCCATCGCTGGGGAGTAGGAGGATGAGGGGAGTGTCAAAGGCTGCTCGTGTCTCTAGGCCTCCTAGATGGGGTCGGACCACATGGGGTCGGAGGATCGCGCCGCATCGCCGATGCATCGACGATGCGGCTCGATGCGAGCCCGATTTTCTCAGCGCCGATGCATCGCCGATGTGTCAACGATGTGGCGCGATCCCCCGACCCCATCCACTCCAACAACATCTAGGAGGCCTCTAGTCAAAGGCCAGATTCTCATAAGTCTGACCTGCATGGGTAGTGTTCAGATATGGCTGCATGAGGAGGAGGAGGAGGAGGAGGAGGAGGAGGACCTCGCTAATCCATGTTTGCGCGTCCCCAGTTCTCTCCTCGGCATAATTTGCACGACCAGCGCCGCTTGGGCCTGCCAGTCGAGCCCCGCTCTGCCGAGGAGCGGCCGTGCATCCGCCTGCCCGCCCGGGACCGTGCGGTGTCTCCGTCGTGGGTCTACAGTTGCGTCGGGCGTGTCCCTTCTCCTTCTCCATCTGCTTCTCCCGCCTCCCTGCCATGCCATAGCATACGTACCATACTACACCATACCTACCAAACCATTTCTACCAATACCATACCAATTCCATACCTACCACATGCCGTACCTATCATACCATACCATACCAACACCATGCCTACCACACCATGCCAACCATACCACGCCACCGACCATACTAGACCACACCTACAATGACAAAGCTACCATACCATACCTACCACTTCAGAGAAGCCACGCCGGAGTGAGGACAGTATCGGGATACCATACCATGTACAAGGTTTCGTGCCCCCCCATCCCTTCAGGGAGGCCCCGCCTGAGCGAGGATGGTATTCGAGTATCATGTTATGGATTAGGTGTCGTGCCCCTCCCACTCCTTCAGGGAGGCCCCGCCTGAGCGAGGAGGGTATTCGAAAACCTCGTTATATTAGGTTTCGTGCCCCTCCCACTCCTTCAGGGAGGCCCCGCCTCAGCGAGGAGGGTGTTCGAAGACCATGCCCCTCCAATTCCTCCAGGGAGGTCCCGCATGAGCGAAGGAGGGCACTCGAAAACCATGTTATTTATGAGATGTCGTGCCCCTCCCACTCCTCCAGGGAGACCCCGCCTTAGCGAGGAGGGCATTCGAAAACAATGTTATGTATAAGGTTTCGTGCCCCGTCCCCTCCTCCAAGGAGGCCACGCCAGAACGAGGAGGGCATTCGAAAATCGAAAACTATGTTATTGATCGGGTTTCGTACCGCTCCCACTTCTCCAAGGAGGCCCCGCCTGAGCGAGGAGGGTATTCGAAAACTATGTTATTTATCGGGTGGTATAGTGTCCCTCCCGATCCTCCACGGAAGCCCAGCCTGAGCGAGGAGGGTATTCGAGAACCATGCTATTTGTCAGGTTTCGTGCTCCTCCCATTCCTCCAGGGGGGCCCCGCCTGAGCGACGAGGGTATTCGAACAACATATTATGTATTAGGTGTCGTCCAAAACTTCAGGGAGGCCCCGCCTGAGCGAGGAGGGGATTCGAACACACATGGTATGTATCCATGTTTTGTGCCCCCGACACTCCTCCAGGTAGGCACCGCCTGAGCGAGGAGGGTATTCGAAAACCTTGTTATGTGTCAGGTTTCGTGCCCCTCCCACTCCTCCAGGGAGGCCCCGCCTGAGCGAGGAGGGTATTCGAAACACATGTTATTTATCGTGGTTCGTGCCCCTCCCACTCCTCCAGGGAGGCCCCGCCTGAGCGAGGATGATATTCGAAAACAGTTTCACTCATCAGGCTTCGTGCCCCTGAGCGAGGAGGGTATTCGACAGTCATGTTGTTTATCAGGTTTCGTGCCCCTCCCACTCCTCCAGGGAGGCCCCGCCTGAGCGAGGAGGGTATTCGAACATTATCCTTTGTTTTTATGTTGTGCCCCCCCCACCGAAACGACGGCCGCTAGGATAACGGGGCAGTTTCGCAAGAGTCTTGTATGCCATTCGACAGCGTCGCTCTCGCTGTGTCCCTCTATCCATCCGCCCCGTACATCCGCGCTGTTCCTACACCTTCTATCTATCTATCCATCCCTCGCTCTTCCTACACCTTCTGCGCCCCCCCCCTGTACATCCGCGCCCCCATCATTGCAGATATGGAAAATTTGGAACGCCGTTCGCAGAATGGTGTTCTCCAACATCCACTTGTAGGAGGACATGCCAAAACCTAAGCCTGGCATCCTCCTGCCCGCCCAGGGCCGTGCGGTCTCGCCACCGTGGGTCTATCGCCGATCTATCGGCGACGCATCACCGACTCGATCAAGCTCTACGTTTCGAGGCTTCCTGGATGGGGTCCGATTTTGATGGGGTCGGAGGATCGCGCCGTATCGCCGATGCGTCGGCGATGCGGCTCGATGTGGAGCCCGATTATCCCCACGCCGACGTCGCCGATGTGTCGCCGACGTGTCGCCGACGTCGCCGATGCATCGCCGATACATCGGCGATGCATTGACGATGCTGTGCGAGCCTTCGACCACATTTGCTCAGACCCCATCTATCAGGCTCCTAATGATTCGCCCCCTTGAGCAGGGTCCATTCCGATCCGATCGATCCAATTCGGTGTCGACCCCAGCCGGCCCGATCAGTCTCGATTCCTATAACTGTTTGACGATCCGATCCGATCCGGCCCGATGCTTGTACGCCGCTGTTGAGCACCTTGCCGCCGCCGATGCTATTCGATTTCGACTACGTGCCGAAGCGGCCCGAGCCGACGCACATTTCGAGTTGATCCTACTTCCAGATCCGACGCTGATTGTGCCTGCCCCTGCAGTGGAGACCCATGCCAAGAAACACCCTGCTTGCCTCCAGGGTGCCTTGGGTTGCTTGGGTTTCGATGGTTTTGCTGTGGAAGGCGCGATGCTCCCGCATCAGAAATCAACGGACGTCCCGGGGTCTCAGGGTTGGTCAGAAGCAGGGCAAGGGCTGCTAAATCCGAAGCTGCTAAAATCGACCTCCCCGAAGTTGTCTTCGTCCTTCCGGGAAGAAGCCCGTAGACTGTTTCGCGTACCGCGCCTCATTCCGGGAAGTTGTTTTTTCCTTCCGGGAGGGCCGTTTTAGTAGCCCACGGTTTTAGCAGCCCTCGCCCAGCTTTCGAGTTGGGTCTACTTGTTGGAGGCTTCTTGTGGACTGGCCTCCGCTGCATCGTTCCCCCCTCGCCCCCCTCTCCCGCCCCGGAGGCGTCGGTGGCCTGCTTCGACTGCGATGCGGGGCGCTGGTCTCACGCCGCGGCCACGGCGTGCGAGGACTGCGACGTGGGGAAGTTTGCGGACCGCCGCAGCCCGCCGCCGTCGTTGTCGCCGTGGTCGTGGGCGTTCTCGTCGTCTGCGTCGGCGTCGACGCCGTGGCCGTCGGAGGGGGGGGAGAAGGATCTAGCGGGATCTAGCGGGCGAACCTCCGGGGAGTCGAGGAACAATCCACAGCCGCGATGAGGTGGCATTACCTACCACCAGGCCGTCCCTGGGCAAGAGGAGGAGGAGGAGGAGGAGGAGGAGGAGGAGGAGGAGGAGGAGGAGGAGGAGTAGGAGTAGGATGAGTGGGAGGAGGAGGGAGGAGAAGGGGGAGGGTAGGAGGAGGAGGAGGGAGAGAGAGATGGGGAGGCGGGAAGGGGTGTGAGGGAGGGGGAGGGGGAGAGGAGGAGGAAGAGGTGGATGTGGAGGCAGAGGGAGGGAGGGGGAAGGGGGGGAGGATGGGGAGGCCGGAGAGGAGGACGAGGAGGAGGAGGAGGAGGAGCAGGAGGAGGATGAGCACGAGGAGCAGGAGGAGGAGGAGCAGGAGGAGGGGGAGAAGAAGGAGGGAGGAGGGAGGAGGGAGTGGAGGAGGTGGGAGGCTGAGGAGGACTCGTCTTGAACAAATGAAGACGGATATCATGTGCAGTTGTTCGTCCTTCTTCGGGGGGGGGGTCCAGGCCTTGGGACCGTCCGAAACATCGGGGCACCCGCCTCGAAGGAGATCCCCCTCCGCCAGCAGGGTCCTCGAGGCCTCCTTCTGCGACTGGGGTGACCTGACGCCTCTGTGCACTCTCTGCAGACTGCCTCTTGGGGCCCTTGGCCTTTGGTGACCGACTCCTCGTCCCCATCCTCGTCCTCGTCCTCCTCGTCCTCGTCCTCCTCGTCCTCGTCCTCCTCGTCCTCCTCGTCCTCCTCGTCCTCGTCCTCCTCGTCCTCCTCGTCCTCCTCATGACTGCTCATCCTCGCCCTCATGATCCCATCCTCCTGGGCCTCCGCAGCAGGAGGTGTGCCTGCGGGGCCGCAGGCATCGCTGGCACCAGCGGTACCAGCGTTGAGTCGGGCCTGCCCGTCTACAGAGGGGGAAGGTTCAAAGATGGTAAAACGATGGTCTGGGGACGATGTGTGGACCATGTGTGATCTTCTTCTGTTTTTTTTGAGTATATCTTATTTTAGGGACAGGCCCGACTTACGACTAGCGTCAACTCCGCTGTCCACGGCCCCGTCCCGCCATCTTCCGCGCAGTCGCTCCGGCGATCCCTGCGCAGCCCTCCTTGAGCCGTGAGCCCCAGGAGGCTCCCCTGCTTGGTAGGTGCGGGGCGACTTTTGATCGGTCGCTTTGCCACGGGGGCCCGCGTGGGGTCGCGTCTCCGCCAACATCGCTTCTCCCTAAATGCTTCATCGTGGACCTTGCCACGCCCATGTACCATCGAGTGCCACAAGTTTCCCCTCTCCACGTGCCGCATCCGCGAAGCGTCGGAGGGCCCTCGTGGCTTGCCTGATGCACGGCTGGGCCGTGAGTCTCGACCTGCCCTTGAGGGTCGCTCCACGGGGCCGTGGGACGGGAATGCGCTGTTTCCCCGCAAGGGCAGCGTTGTCCCAGACTGGTCCAGGTGGGTCGTGCTCCCCACTTGGGTCGGGGAAGCGTACGACTCGAGTAAGCTGGAACTCGGGTTTGCCGAAAGTTTTTGACGAGCGCGTCCTGGATTTTGACGGTCCGGTGTTCGTGGGACGTCGGCAGCGAGAGTTCGCGTCAGGTTTCAGATTTGGTCGCATCATTTTTATGATGGCCCCGTCGAGCTAGCCCGAGTCCCCCGTGCCCGAGTCCTACATACATCTCCCCGAGTGGGTTGCTTTCAGGGGCATCGGGCTGGCGTGGCTGCCCTCGGTATCGTTTAACCAATCCCCATCTCCATCGCCATCCCCTTCGAGACCCCCACCAAATTACCACCCCAGTTGGGGATACACCCCTCGAATCCCAAAGGTCACGACCTACACTGGGTGGGGGAGACGCATGCGGACTTTGCCACTGGGGCCTTCGGTGGAGCTCCCTATGGCACCCTATGGGCCACGAAACGTTGTGCCGGTTGGGGGAGACGCATGCGGACTTTGCCACTGGGGCCGTCGGTGGAGCTCCCCATGGGCCTCGAAACGTTGTTCTTGGTGGGGGGGACGCATGCGACTTTGCCACTAGGGCCTTCGGTGGAGCGTCCCATGGGACACAACACGTTGTTCTGGGTGGGGGGGAACCATGCTGACTTTGCCACTGGGGCCTCCGGTGGAGCTCCCTATGGGCCACGACACGTTGTGCTGGGTGGGGGAAACGCATGTGGACTTTGCCACTGGGGCCTTCTCTGGACCTCTCCATGGGGCCACGAATCGGTGGGTCTTCCTAATTATGGGGCCACGACACGCTGTACTGTGTGTGCGGGACGCATGCGGGCGGTGCCACTGGGACCTTCGGTGGGGACCCCCACGGGGCCACGAAACGCTGTAATGGGTTTGCGGGACGCACGCGGGCGGTCCCACTGGGACTTCCGGTGGGGTTCCCTATGGGGCCACGAAGCGCTGTACTGGGTGGTGCGTGACTCATGCGGGCGGTGGCACACTGGGGCCGTCGGTGGAGCTCCGTTTGGCGCCACGAAGCGCTGTAGTGGGTGGGGGCGACGCATGCGGACGGTCCGACTGGGACGTTCGGTGGGGCTCCATATGGGGCCACGGATGTGCGTGACGCATGCGGGCGGTCCCATTGAGGCCGTCGGCGGGGCTTCCTATGGCGCCACGAAGCGCTGTGCTGGGCGGTGCGTGACGCATGCGGGTGGTGCTGCTGGGGCCATCTGTGGAGCTCCCTATGGGCCACGAAACGCGGAACTGGGTGGTCCGTGACGCATGCGGGCGGTCCCACTATGTCTCCCACTATGACTTTCGGTGGGGCTCCCTATGGGGCCACGAAGCGCTGTACTGGGTGGTGCGTGGCGCATGCGGGCTGTGGCACTGGGGCCTTCGGTGGAGCTCCGTTTGGGGCCACGAAGCGCTGTACTGGGTGGTGCGTGACGCATGCGGGCGGTGGCACTGGGGCCGTCGGTTGAGCTCCTCATGGAGCCACGAAAAGCTGTACTGGGTGGTGCGTGACGCGTGCGGGCGGTCCGACTGGGACTTTCGGTGGGGCTCCCTATGGGGCCACGAAGCGCTGTACTGGGTGGTGCGTGACGTTAGCGAGTGGTCCCACTGGGGCTTCCGGTGGAGCTCCCTGTGGGGCCACGAAACGCTGTATTGGGTGGTGCGTGACGCATGCGGGCGGTCCCACTGGGACCTTCGGTGAAGCTCCTTATGGGGCCACGAAGCGCTGTACTTTGTGGTGCGAAACGCATGCGGACGGTCCCATTGGGGCCTTCGGTGGAGCTCCGTTTGGGGCCACGAAGCGCTGTATTGGGTGGTGCGTGACGCATGCGGGCGATCCCATTGGGGCCGTCGGTGGGGCCCCCTATGGGGCCACGAAACGCTGTACTGGGTGGTGCGTGACGCGTGCGGGCGGTTCCACTGGGATCTTCGGTGGGGCTCCCTATGGGGCCGCGAAACGCTGTACTGGGTGGTGCGTGACGCACGCGGGCGGTCCCTTTGGGGCCCTCCAGTGGAGCTCCTTATGGAGCCACGAAACGTGTGAGGGGTGTGCTGAAACGGGTGATGATGATGAAACGCAGGGAGGAGGGAGGAGGGGTAGGAGGGAAAAAGGGAGGAGGAGACGCGGGGCGCTGTCTCTTCAAAACGAGGACCCAACACCACAGGATGGCTGGGGAAACAAACAGGCACAATTAATCGTCGGATCCCAGGAAAGTATGGAAACTATGGGGAGTGGGGGGGAAGACGAAAACCAAGAACATGTAGAAACATATGGGGATCCTGGGATTTGTGTCTATTTACTTTTGTGTCCCAGGGCCCCTTTTCTCTTGCGGATTCCCGCAGCCCGCCCACGGCCGCAGAGCAGTAAAAAGCAAACACCCGGATGAAGCAGAGATCTTCGGGGCCCGGGGCATGCCCTTGGTCCCAGGGCCCGTTTCCGCCAATGCCCCTTTTCTTTCCCTCGTGCCAGTCGTCCTTGTGCATTATTGCGAAGGAAGGCCTTACGGCCGTTGCCGCCGACCCTGAGAGCGACGAAGGTGAAAACGAGGGGAGGCCAGGGTGGAGGAGATGGATGAGAGAGGGGGTGAGGGGGGAGAAGGATGTGGAGGAGAAGCAACAGGAGGAGAAGGAGGCAGAGGAGAGCAGGAGGAGGGGGAGCAGAGGGGGAGGAGGAGGAGGAGGAGGAGGAGGAGGAGGAGGAGGTATGAGTGAGAATGAGGAGGAGGAGGAGGAAGGAGGAGGAGAGGACAGGAGAGGAAGGGGGAGTAAGGGAGGAGAGTAAGGGAGGAGCCATAGGCTTTCCTTGAGACAGGCAGCCGTAGGCTCTCTTCGAGCGTCATGGGCCGGATAGTCCAGGGCTCCTCTTGCGCCGTTTCGAGGCACTCTTGGAGGCCTCCTGGGCAATTTGGGGCTCTCCTGGGCTGTCTTGGGGCAGTTTGGGGTCCCCTTGGGAGCCTCTTGGGGCCTCTTGGGGCTTCGTCGGGGCCTCTTGGGGGCCTCGTGGGCCTGAGAGCTCGAAATGTCAATTCGGGTCCCCGTCTGGGGACTCTCCTGGAGCCGTCTTGGGGGCCTCTTGGGCCGTCTTGGAGGCGTCTTGGGCCGTCTTGGGGCCCTCTTCGGCCGTTAGGGGATCCGCTTGGGGGCCTCTTGGGCCGTTTCGGGGCGATCTTGGGGGCCTCTTGGGCCGTCTTGGCGCGTCGGGAAGCGGAAGAGGCAAGAACGCCACAATTTTTCAAAGACGTATCGGAAATCCGTGAATTTTGCCTCTTGGGGTTCTCGTGAGAAAGCTCCTGGAGGCCTCTTATGGGCGTTTTGCAGGCCTCTTGGGCCGTCTGGAGGCCGTCAAGGCGTCTTGGACAGATCGTTCGGCGATTCGGGGTTCTTTTGGACTGTCTTTCTGTCTTTGGGGCCTCTTGGGGCAC